CAGGAGGGGACAGAGGACGCCCGCTCTCTGCTCACGGGGAGGAAGAAAAAGGGTCAACAACAGGGGTCCCAGACGTCAGCAAGCAGACCCTGTTCATCCCCCTCCTGTGTCTCGCCGACTGCCGTCTCTGCTTCATGACCATTTGGACATCATCGGAAGTCCGTTCCGTAATGGCTTTCTAGCTCAGCTCCTTTATGCAGAAAAATGATAATGCATTTAGGATGCTTGCGGAAGTCCCCAGAGGAGATTAATTTGTTTGCAGGATTGAGTTTCCTAGGGGTAAACCAACAAGGAAAAACCCAGGCCCTGTCTGTCCGCCCTGCTGAGTGAGGTCAGCACAGGGGCATCGTCTGCAGGGCCCCAGTGAGTCCCACCGGGGAAGGGCTCCCTGTGTGGAACTGGGGCCCCTGGACACAGGTCATCAGACCACGTGTTCGAGTGTGCTCTCAAGCCCTCCGGCCTGTGGTGCCGGTCTCCATGCCCCGGTCCGCTGTCTGCGCGGGGATCCTGTTCCCTAGCGGTGCCCCTGAAGACCACACGACAACGCTCCATCATGCGTCTTCATTCCCAACACGCAGGCCGAGTCTGCGTTGTCCCAGATTCAGATCAGCCGGTGGAAGTGTCCCAGGGCCCTCTCAGGGTCACTGCTGGTGTGCCCTCCTCTTTCACCTCATGGACGTCCCCACTGTTCCTGCAGCTGTGCCAGGGCTGCGTGTTCCGTGACGCCGCGCGGTCTCGTCACGCACCGGCCTGCTTCCCGGGGGTTCTGGGACCCACAGTGTCCCCCGGCATCGGCGACTGCTCCCCTCGTCCACGGCCGGCCGCAGTCACGCAGCCCCCCCTGACCTTCTGTACGGGTTTGTTCCGTTGATTTGTGTGCTTTTGAGAAGAGAGGGAGGCATTTGGGGCATATTTTCCGCAGCTGGATTGCAGCGCACACGGTGTTTGGGCCGTCGGACAGACTCAGGCTCTCTCCCGAATCCGGTTAGTTCCTGAGACGTGATTTCAAACCAGGCTTTCGTGAAGTTCAAACAGTGCGAACGTGGCGCAGCCCTGGCCGTCCCGGTAGTTCTGACAGGACCTCTCAGCGCTCGGCCGTCTGACCGAGGAACCGGGTCACGTGAGCCCCGGGGCCTCGGGGCGTCTGCTCAGCCTCCAGCTCGCTGCAGCTGGTGATGTAAGGGGCCTGCAACAACAGCAGAGTCGTTTGTTCCCATGTCTCCACAGATGGCGTCGTGACTCACGTAATTGAAAACAATCGACTCTCCGGCATCCTCCCCGAATAACATTTTCCAGGCCCAGAACGTATTTCTGAATTTCAAGCAGAAGCTTTTAGAACCTCTGCAACACCAGGCCGGGCGTGTAAATATATCTCAGAAATGGAGAAGTCTGTCTCGTAAAACCCAAAGCGAAACACTTGATCTCTCCGGACAGGGAGCTCGGCGTTGCCGAGGGGACTCGGACGTGCTCCGGACCATTAAGTCTCAGAACAGAATTCATTTAGCAGCGGAAAAATTTTGTTTAATTGATGACGTAGGGAGTGAATGTTTTTGTTCCTGTAAGCTAAGCCATCTGATGGTTTCTGTTAAAACCTCCTGGGATTTATAACAGAATTTTACTCTTGTTTTTTTTTTCTTTAACTGAAAGAGATTTGTGTGTTATACAAATAGGTTTTCTCTGTTGCTCCCTTCTGTTTTATGCCTTTCTTCTCTCTCCACAAAGATCCTGTCAGCAAAGATCCTGTCGGTCTAGGAAATAATAGTTTCTAGCTCATTTTGACAATGGACCCTGATTTTTTTAAAAATTTGTTTCTTTTTTTATTTTAGAGAGAGAGGAAGGGAGAGGGAGAGAGAGATAGAAACATCGATAAGAGAGAACATCTATTGGCCGCCTCCTGCATGCCCCCCACTGGGGATCGGGCCCACAACCTGGGCATGTGCCCTGACCGGGAATCGAACCAGTGACCTCTTGGTGCAGGGTCGACGCTCAACCACTGAGCCACACGGGTTGACCATCAACCACTGAGCCACACTGGCCGGGCACATCCTGATTATTTTTTAAGTGTCCCAACTGGAAGACTTGGGGGCTTGTAGCTGTTTCATCTGTGCACTTGCTGGCTTAACCTCTGAGCAGATCGTGAGGGGACGTTGAATGTATATGACAACCTCCTGGCTGCCCTCCCTCAGTGTGTCTGGGCCCGGGGAGCCAGAGCTGGGGGGACCAGGGATGTGAGTCGAGCCCCTGAAGCTGGGAGCGAGGGGCACCCCTCACAGCCGAACCTCCGGCACAGGTCCAAGTGGACTCAGGCCCAGGAGCCCATGCGGAGCCCACAGACGCCTCGTCACCTCGGGTCCGAGGACGGGGGATGTGGGAGAAATGGGGCAAAGCTGCGTTTTCTACCCGGTGGCCTGTTGGTGAAATACATTTACAAAAAAATTCTTTTCAAAACCATGGAGCTGGCTTTAGACATAAAATGTATGGAAAAGTTGAGAGAAATGCATGTACACAGTAAACCTGCAAAATACACAAATACGAAGGAAAACGTGTTTGGTAGAAAGCTGAACACAGTTCCTGTCCTGACGCAATATCGCTCTAGGTGGTTTCTCCTATTTCTAATGTCCCCTCTGTTTTCATGTTTTATTTAATGACTGCGCATTACTTCCGTAATAAAAATGTTCAGGGATCTACACTTCAAAATTAGGCAAAAAATTGGGACGATTCATATTGAAAGTAGTAATGATTTCTACTTAATTATCCCAGCGTATTTATAATGTGGATATTAGAACAGTTAAATATCTTCAGGTAAGACCATTTTATCTCACCCGTGGCATCAAACAATTATGTGAGTAAACATGAAGGAAAATTAGTGGTTTGTAATAATTTGTTTTAATATATCCCTGTAGTATCTCAGAATTTGCTATGACCTCGGTCTATCCCCAAATATATGTATGTTTGTGTATACAAATATATGTATACACGCACACATGAAAGTGCTCAAAATAATTTCATAAAATTATATAAAATATGTCAAATTTTGAATAAATATCTCAAACTAAGACAGAGGAGCTTTTAGGAAAAGGATGGGGGACGAATCTCTGAAATGTCTGGATGTAGTTCCCATAAGTAAAGATCTCTGAAAGAATGCTTTTCTAAAATAGCAACAATCCTGCTACAGATGCCGCTCTGTCCGTTTCGTAAGCACACGTTTTGTCTCGTGTTACCAGGCGGGGCACCAGGCCACATGGCTTCAGGCAGACTGGCAGCCGGGCGCAGGAAGTCCAGCTCTGGCACCCGAACACTCCGTCCGGACGCCCGTCTGATGGCCCGTGACCCTCAGGCTTGGCCCCGGGGCCTGGCTGGCCCCTGCCCGTCGGGGGCGCAGACAGGAAGAGCTGGTGATTTGCGGCTGCGTTCACGGAGGGATGGAGGAAGGCAGGGTGAGTCCCGCCCCGGAGGTGCAGGCTGGAGCCCCATGCTCCTCCTCGTCTGTTTGCTGGGTGTCCAGGCGGATGGTCCAACACAAAAGGCCATTTCTACGTGTCCCGCACCTTCCCAGCCAGTTAACATACACGTAACTGTCCTGCACACACCACTTCCTGTGTGACCCAGGAAACAGGGTTTTTATACTGTGGAACTGGGGGAAAGTCCTGGGCTTGGGGGTGAATTCTCAGGCAGAGAATCCTGGTGAACAGCAGTTGTGTGAATGGCTAGAAATGGGGACCTGGGGGGGACAAGGGCCGTGGGTGCCATTCTGGCCGGGGAAGGGGAGCGGAGCCGCTGACCGTTGCCCGAGGCCCAGGACGGGCCAGGCGTGCCATGAGCCAGCAGGTGGTGGTTTCGGACTCTGTGTGATCGTCCGACGTCTGCCACAGGCTTCATTCCCACCGCGAAACCGCGGGGCCGCTGAGTCCTCTCAGCCTCACCGTCTGACCAACGTGACCACGCTTCGTGAACGTGAAATACAACAACACGTTAGTCTCACTATTGTTCGTACCCTACCGAAGTATTGAGGGTGACATGTCATTTCCGAAAACTACTTTTAAGTGCAGCAAAGTCTTAGCAGTGGGTGAATCTAGTGAGAGTATACTGACCTGGTGCTATTCTATCAACATTTTCGTCGCCGTGACTTTTTAGACTAGGGAAAAAAGCTGATAAGAAATTCATAAAATCAAGTGCTTTGACTGCGTCTCTCCTGGACGGTGCTGGTGACGGCCGTCAAAATCCGGCTCCTTGCCCTGGCCGGTTTGGCTCAGCGGTTAGAGCATCAGCCTGCGGTCTGGAGAGACCCGGGTCCGGTTCCCGCTAAGGGCATGTACCTCGGTTGCAGTTTGTCCCCGGCCCTGGTTGGTCGTGCGGGTGGCAGCCACTCGATGTGTCCCTTTCACGTCGATGTTTCTCTCTCTCTCTCTCTCTCTCTCTCTCTCTCTCTCTCTCCCTTCCTCTCTCTCCCTTCCACTCTGTCTGAACTAAAAGTGGGAAAACGTCCTCAGGTAAGGATAAAAAAAAAAAAAATCCAGCTCCTTGTAAGCCTCTTTCTTGAGAGACAGGTTGGGAGAATGTTAAGTTCTGCTTCTCCTTCTCCTTAAGTATTTTGTGGTCACCAGTCACGGTCACCAATGTACAGTGTTTTGCAAACCACAGAGCCCTGTCCGGGCACAGACGGTCCCAGATGTGGTTATTTGGTGATGCCTCGGTCACCTGGCCCAGCTCCTCACCTTGGCTGTCCAGACTCCAGCCAGTCTCTGCTGTTGCTACCACCTTAACATTCATATTCATGAGCCACGTTCATATTCATGACCCACGTTCATATTCATGACCCATATTCATATTCCTGACTGGCCTTCTGGCCTCTCCCCTGCTGTCACCAGCTGCAGACACAGTGCTGCTCCCGAGGCCTGGAGGGCAGAGCAGCCCTTGTTCGGAAACTTCCCCGGAGCAGAGCCAGCCTGCTGCTCCCGGCGCCCTGCCTGCCCGGGGATCCCTGGGCCCAGCCAGCCCCCATGAGACCCTCCAAGGCGATGCAGCGCTACAGAAGCGTCCGGAGAAATGCCAGCCAGCGCTACCTGTACCAGGAGTCCCTGCTGCTCAGGTGAGCGGGTCCCGGCCGACCTCGGGGCAGCCAGGGCAGGGGTGTGGGGAAGGGACGCATGCCCACCGCCACCCGAGGGCCACGTCCTGACTGCGCGGTGGTCCCTCTGAAGGAAACAAACTCCTTCCTGCAGGTCCTTGCGCACCTGGCGTGGCAGCTACCTCGGCGGCAGCGGCGCGGGTCTTAACCTGCTGCTGAACCGGGGGGGCCCCCTCCGCACGCCCGGCCCAGTCTGGCATGTTGCTGGCCAAGCCCCAGACACGCTTGATCTGGCTCTGTCCCCGCGGTAGCGGTGTTGACGGAGGGAAGACAATGCTCTGTCCTAACCAGGACGGTGTCTGCTGGAACGGCCTCGGGCTGCTTCGAAGTGAGGGGTCTACCCAAATGTGTTAGGCATATTCTGACGGTACCTGAAACCCTCCAGGAATTTAGGGAACTCGGACAAAGGTCTCCTTTGAATAAGTGAAAACATCTAAATTAGAGAGAAGCGGAGGGGTTGTTTCCCCTTCCTTTTCAAAGCGCGTCCCTGCTCCGACGGCCGCCGCAGAAGACGCGTGTGTCCCCCGAAGACTTGCACCACGGTCAGCGTGCTCCGGGGGACAGTGTCGCCGCGCGTTGAAAGGGATTCTCCCGGGGAGCAGCGGGTCCCCTGGAACACGTGTGCACATACGTGTGCTTAGCTCGTTCCTTGTTCACGGAAACGGCTGCCCATTCCGCCTCTGCGTTAGGTCAGATTTCAAATGCCTCCAAGTGGAGATGCGGGAAGGGGTCTCTGGGCGACATTTGGTCTCTGTGTTTTGCATCCAGAGTTAGAGATGAGGAGGAGCCTGTCAGATCCGCTGATACTTTCAGTGTGCCTGAAAAAGGCTGTTTTGCCACCAACGATGTCGTGAGGAGTGGTTATGAGCACCCTCTCGTCTGCGGACATGATGCCTTCTGAAAGTGTCTTTCACCCTGAGACCGGTTCCCTCCCACTGACCCGCGGAAGTAACGGAGCAGAGAGTCCCCTGGGCTGCCCACCCCGCCGAGCCCCTCTCCCTGGCCGAGCTGCTGCTGCGCGGACGTCCGCGGGCGGCCCTGGCGTGGCGAGGGCTGGCGTTGCTGGCAGCATCTCTGCTGACCAGACCCCCTCCTGTGCCCCTTCAGCAGCCTGGACGACAGCCTCAGCGCGGACGCGATGGGGGACAGCAGTGATCCGGAGCGCATCTTCCAGAACATACAGCTCCAGAAGGAGCTCGTGGCCAACATCCGCTGCCGACCCTGGAGCATGGGCCAGAAGCTGAGGGCGCTGAGGTGAGGGCCCCCGCAGTCGGGGTGGGGGGGGCGCTCTGCGACGCACCTGCCTGCCCCTGGCACCGAGCCCCGCGGGGAAGTCCCAGAGATGCCGGAGGGGTCCAGCTGGTCCAGGCTGCTTTTTGTTTGTCCGGGTTCCGTGTGTGCGTTGGAGGAAAGTGGACGGTTTTCTGTCTCTTTCTCAAACACTAGCTTTTAGCACTGTGTCCGGAGGTGAGCAAAGGACCTGAACTCACCAGATGCAGGGTGATACTCCAGATGAAAACCAGTGTTGGTTTTACCCGCTCGGTGAAATCCCCCTCTGGCAGGAGCAGTCTGTAGGGGAAGGCAGATGACGATGAGGCTCAGAGGCTCGTGGGGAGGCCGCTTAGATCGGGGTGATGAGCTCGGGGCTGGAAGACAGCCCACCTGAGTTCAGACCGCCCCGCTACGAATCACCATGTGATTCGCGATGTGATATCGGCTGGCTTCTTAATTTCCCTGAATACCCGCCCCATCCTCTCGAGAGCCCAAGTGATGGGGGAGCAGCAGGTGCTTCTGGAGACTCGGGGCCGCCAGGAGCTGGGGGGAGGGCGCCCCGTTTCTCGGGTGCATTCGGGCTGATTTCTTTGCCCATTCATGTTTCGATGCACCGACAGCAGGTCAAGGAGCCAGTGAGACAAAACCACCTGCGTGCCCAGCCTCGCACCCGGTGCCGGGATCACAGGGGAGTTAGCAGGTGGCCGTACTGACTGGAAGTGGATGTTGCTGGAGACACAGGGCCTGCCCCTGGCGACAGGCACGCTGTGTGTGCAGATGCCACCCACACCCCTCTCTCTCCACGCCTGCCCTGAGGCCCTTTCTGTCCCGTGAGACCAGCCTCCGCGCCCCCACGAAGGCGCAGATCTTCCCGCCGCGCAGAGAGGCCGCCTGCCTGCAGGGGGCGCGGCAAGAAGTAGGGTCACAGCCGCGGTCTCACGCCCTCCCAGGCTTCCGGTCGCCGGCCGTCTGTCACCGGCCGTCCTCACTCTGTCTCAGAGGGGCTGTTTCCCAGAGAAGCAGACAGTCAGAGGTGCTCAGTGCCCTGGGGACGCAGCTTCCGAAAGCTGGGGTTCGGCGGAGACCCCGGCTTCCTGAGCCCCGCCGCAGTTTCTGTTGTCGATGTTTCCAAAGTCAACATCGGGGCACTTCCTCTGCTTTTATTTTTATTTTTATTACTGTTGTTATTATTTTAATCCTCACCCGAGGATATTTTTCCGTTTATCTTCAGATAGAATGTGTGTGGGGGGGGGGTGAACGTGATGTGAGAGGGACACGTTGACTGGCTGCCTCTCGAACGACCCCAATCGGGGCCGGGGATGAACTGCAGCCGAGGTACATGCCCTTGACCAGAGTCGAACCCCAGACTCTCTGGTCGCTCTAACCGCTGAGCACACCGGCCAGGGCTTCTCGCAGGGTTGTCGAAATCCCACAGAAGGGCTGATGCTCAGCGGCTGTGAGCAAGGGCGGGGAAGCCTTCGTAACCTGCGGCGGAGCGGAGCGCGTGGCTCTTCCGCCAGGGCAGTCAGAGCCAGCCGGGGACCCGCCACTCGGCCCGGCCCGGCCCGGCCCCGACACCGGGCGCGAACACAGCCCACACGGGGGCTTCGGCGACCTCGGGCTCTCAGCAGCCTTCCCTCTGAGCAGCCGGAATCTGGGAGGGGCTTTAAGAAATTCCGTTGTGAGTTCGGCCAGCGTGGCTCAGTGGTTAAGCGTCGACCCTGCACCAAGAGGTCACCGGTTCGATTCCCGGTCAGGGCACATGCCCAGGTTGTGGGCTTGATCCCCAGTGGGGGGCGTGCAGGGGACAGCCAGTCGGTGTTCTCTCTCATCAGTGTTTCTCTCTCTCTCTCCCTCTCCCTTCCTCTCTCTCTCAAATCAATAAAGGGGAAAAAAGAAGTTAAAAATCCATTGTGATAACGGTGATTACCAGAGGGAAAGGGGGCAGATTATGCAGATGACGCATAGAGCATTGTACACTCGAAGCATGCACACGTTTGTTAAGTGACACAGCCCCAATCAATCCAATGACGTATACAAAAGAAATCCCGTTGTAACTGATTTGGGTATTCATTCACCCTTTGGCACGGATTAACCCATTTAAACGGTAAAGAAAATGTATCTTCCCAGTTGTGTTGAGAACTGGTGCGCACCACGGTGTCAGTGTAAGACACGCGGACAGCCTGATGGTTTGATTTGCATCACGTTGTGAAATGATCACCACAGTGGGTTCAGCTAACATCCGTCATCTGATGTTGATACAGTAGCAACAACACAACTTTCCTGCGGTTAGAACTCTTGGGATTCACTCTCTCGACAGCTTCGCTGTGCACGTGGGTGCAGCAGTGTTAAGTACAGTCCTCGTGCTATTCGCGACATTGTAGCACTTCGTATCCTACAACGAACACCCTCCACCTCCAGTAACCACGAGTCTCAATGCTCAAATATCTTTAAGAGGGTTTTCTAGTTACCAAAGGTCAGGAGATGAGAGAGCGCACGAGCCCGCCTTCCCCAACATCCCGCCCTGTGCCGTCGGGCCCCCTGTTCCTGTCGTATGTTCACGTCTTTGGCGAAGGTAGTAAGTGTGATGAAGTCACGCGCACCGTCGTGTCTTTGTTCTCGCAGACGAGCGAAGGAGATCGTGCTGAAGTTTGAAGGGCGGCTGACCAGGACCCGCGGCTACCAAGCGGCAGGGGCAGAGGTGAGGAGCACTCTGGTGGCTGCGACCCGCCCCGGCCGTGGTCTCAGCAGGGGGCACCTGCCACTGCACCTGGGCGTGCGCATCAGTCATGGGCGGTCTGCTGGGCGGGAGGTCTGCGGAGCCCCACACCTGGACTTGAGTCCCAGACGCCGTCACTTACCCGTGTGGGACCCTGGGTTGTCCTCAGTCATCAGAAATGGGTCCCTTCCATTGCGAGAAGGGTCTCACATATGTCCTGACGGAGTCCGCCCACACGGGTAGACTGCGCTCTTGTAATGAGGAAAGTCCAGGCGTAGTCCAGCGCCCCTTGTGTGATACGATGCTAAGGTGTTTCGTTTTGTTTTCTTGGTATTTTTTGTTTATTGATTTTAGACAGAGGAAGGGAGAGGGAAAGAGAGATAGAAACATCGATGAGAGAGAACATCGACTGGCCGCCTCCTGCACGCCCCCCACTGGGGATCAGCCCACAACCTGGGCATGTGCCCTGACCGGGAATCGAACCGGCGACCTCCTGGTGCAGGGTCGACGCTCAACCACTGAGCCACACCGACCGGGCTATGGTTTTTGTTTCTTCTTTTCCCCAGTCAGTTACTTGAAGCCAAACTTTAGTGTATAGTGTGATTATCTGTTTATAAAGACAGGACAATAATTTTTATAACTGCTTGGAAAAGGAAGGGAAAATCATGTCTCCTTCTGTGACCCCCCATCTCAAGAGAGTGCCTTTGCAATCTCGTGCTGCAGTCTCTGAGCATACGACTGCCTCCTCAGAGTGTGTATGGGACACAAACAAGTCGGCTCCTTTTCTCACGACCACTTTGCCAAACTGCAGCACAGTTTTTCTCTTACCACGTTCGATGACTGTGGCGTGGAAACTCGGGGCGATCGCGAGGGAAGCGGGGTGTCTGTTCCCACGCCTTCCCCATTCCTGGTCATGGGCAAATCATGCTTTTCAATCCCATTGGCCCCTGGAAGCTCCGGGAGGTAGGGCCCTTGTGGAGTCTCGGACCAGAGTGAGCCCTGGGGCCCTGGGTCCAGGGCTGTGGCCCCCCGGGTCCCACGTGAGCCCCAGAGGCGGGAGAGGGCTGTGCTCTGCCCCCCGAGCGAGATTCTCGCACAGTTGCACCTTTGAAGAGCCCTCTGAACACCACAAGTTGAATTCTTTCTTCTGTAAAATGAGGGACTTGAATGCCAGAGAAAGCAAATAAGTGTTTCCCAGGGGTGCAGCATAAGAGAGGAAGAGGCTGGGCTCGATCTCAGGTCTCCGACCCCCACCACCAAGTGCTCCTTACGCTCCTGGCTTTACAGTGGCCCCCAGATGCCAGTGTCCAGTGTCCCCCACCCGAACCCTTGCGGGGGGTGTCCGAGCACCGGCCCTGGGCGCATGGGGTTGGAGCGTCGGGAAGCTCTGGTCCGGGCGCCGCAGGGACAGCACGGCCGAGCGGGTGGGACGTGGCTGCCGTGCCGGGGACCAGGTGCGACTGTGGGAGCTGCAGACAGCAGAGGGCACTTCTGGGTGCAGAGACGCCCTGGACACGGGTCTGCAGTCACGAGCAGGGGAGGAGCCACTCCAGCTTCTGGCGGAAGAGATTCCTGCTCCCGGCGGCCGTCCTGGCCTCCGCAGACACGTCCCCAGTGGCACGACCACGGCGTCTGCGGCGTCTGCGTCCGGACCTGTGCTCAGGGCGCTGTGATGACGTCTGCAGCCCTTCTGTCTGCAGTGATGTCACCTGCTTCCGGCTGGTCTGCGTGTGAAAACGAGTCGCCTGGCAGCGTGGGTGGGTGGGGGAGCAGGGCCCGCGTCAGGGCGCACGGTCCGCTCCGTCCTCCTCCCAGGAAACAGTCCTTTGAACTTCCAGCGCCCTGAGGTCCTCGCTGAAGGCAGGCGGCGTGTCTGGGGCCCCTCCTCGGCGTGGGACCCTAGCGCCCCAAGTCACTGCGCCACAGTGAGTGCGGGGCTCGCTAATCCTGTCCCTCCTTCCAGCTCTGGCGGAAGTGTGCCCGGCTGGCCTGTAACTTCGCGGCGGTCTTCATCCCCTGGGAGACGAGGATTAAGAAAATCGAGAGTGAGTTGGCGGAATCGAACCCGTGACTCATTGCTCCACAAGCTGATGCTCTAACCACTGAGCCAAACCGGCCAGGGCAGAAATCTGTTTTTAAATACACTCTCTTAAAATACATTAAGACGTATAGGAAAGTGATAGAGACTTCCCATAACCCCTTCGCCCAGTGTCCCTTAATGTTCGCATCTAGAAGAGTATTTTGAAATTGAGAAAAAAGAATCCTTGGAAACTGATACCTGTGAACATACACGAAACGTTGCAAATTCGATAAAAGTCTTTTAGATGAATATGTCATTATGAAAGTTAATTAGGGGATTTTTTTCTGCATAAATAACTGATGTTCATGCGTGAGCGTCTTGATCCCTGTAAATGACCGTTTGGGGGACACCTGGGTGGGTGCAATCATGACGTTTTCGGTAAGAAAAGCTACAGTGTCGCTTCACGGAGACCTCGGGCTGCGGGTTTCGCACGAACCCGCTCTCCTGTCCCTCCAGGTCACTTTGGCTCCGGGGTGGCGTCCTATTTCATCTTCCTGAGATGGCTCTTTGGAATCAATATTGTGCTCACCGTGATGACGGGGGCTTTTATTGTCGTCCCAGAGGTGAGAACCACGTAGCAAATCGTTCATGTAGAAGTTAAGAAGAATCCTTGGAAAAAATCCCTGACGTTCTCGAAACCACATCAGATAAAAAAAAAGATGCGCAAAATTGTGTATCTTATTTATTTATTTATTTATTTCTATTTTTTTCTTTATTGATTTTAGAGAGAGAGGAAGGGAGAGGGAGAGAGAGAGAAACGTCGATGAGAGAGAACATCGATTGGCCGCCTCCTGCACGCCCCCCACTGGGGATCGGGCCCATGACCTGGGCATGTGCCCTGAGCGGGAATCGAAGCGGTGACCTCTTGGTGCAGGGTCGACGCTCAACCACTGAGCCACACCAGCTGGGCTGTGTATCTTTTAGAGGGAAAAAAGTGCTGTTTGTGGAAAAGAGCCGTTCGTACCCTCCCGGGCGGGGGGACCCTATGGGTGGACCGGGGCAGCGACCGCGTCTGCGCAGAGGCGAGTCCGTGTTAGACTGCGCGGGCCTTGCTGTTTCTGCCGGGACGGATCTGTGTGGTGCAAACACATGAATACATGTGGCTCGTCGAGTCTGAAACTGAGCTCCATGTGAATCTCGTGTCACCAAACGTTGTTGTTGTTAGGTTTGTCCCAGCCAGGTAAGAAGCAGAACCGTCAGCTCTCGGGCCGGACAACGAGAGAGTCCGCGGGCTGCATGTGGCCTGTGGGCCAGCTTGCCGGCACCCTGTCAAAATAAAACCTATTTCTCAACCTTTCTCCCCAAAACGTAGAGGGGGGAAAGGGAGAAAGGGGGCTCCTTCCCAAGCCACGAGAGAACCCCAGTGACCTCAGCAGCCCACCCAGAGACCACATCCAGCCCGCAAAGGGGACGCCAGGCAGGCCCTGACCAGGCAGACAGAGAATCCGGCCCCGTGGCTGACTTTCCGTCCGTGGGGACCAGGAGCAACGCGCCCTGCAGACCTCACGCCGTGTCTCCCCTCTGGCCCCAGCTCATCGCCGGCCAGCCTTTCGGGAGCACCGCCAGCAAGAGCATCCCCGAGACACACGTGGCGTCAGCCCACGACCTGGACACCGTCTGGTCCCTGGGGGTGAGGCCGGCTCGCTGCGCCTCACGCCGGAGGGAGGGAGGGAGGGAGGGGGGGGCCCGGCGGCACCCGGCGGGCGCACTGACCCCGGCGCTGTCCACGCAGGGCTACCTGCAGTCCTCCGTCCTCTTCTACGGCTACTACGGCCGGGAGCGCAGGATCGGCCGAGCGGGCTACCGGCTGCCCTTGGCCTACTTCCTGGTGGGCATGGCGGTGTTCGCGTACAGCTTCATCATCCTCCTGAGGAAGTACGGCCGCCGCTTGCTCAGGACGCGCCCGGGTGCCCTGCGCTCTCGTTCAGGCGTGTCAGGACCCCGCAGTGAGGGCGTAACTGTCCCCACCGCACAAATCAGACCACGGCGAGGGGGACCGGGTCAACCCGCAGCCGGCGAGGGCCTGCTGCCCTGTGCGGGTTCCCTGGGGCCGGAGGCCAGGATCGTGTGTGCGCAGCAGGTCCTGTCATTTGGGACGGTGGTGGGCAGTAACCCCCGGGGGGCAGAGTTACCCCCGGGGGGCAGTTAACCCCAGGAGGCAGAGTTACCCTCGGTGGGCAGAGTTACCCCCGGGGGGCAGTAACCCACGGTGGGCAGAGTTACCCTCGGGGGACAGAGTTACCCGCAGGGGGCAGAGTTAGTTACACTCGGGTGGCAGAGTTACCCCCGGTGGGCAGAGGTACCCCCGGGGGGCAGAGTTAATCTTGGTGGGCAGAGGTACCCCCGGGGGGCAGAGTTAATCTCGGTGGGCAGAGGTACCCCCGATGGGCAGAGTTACCCTCGGGGGGCAGAGTTACCCCCGGGGGGCAGAATTACCCTCAGGGGGCAGAGTTACCCTCGGGGGGCAGAGTTACCCGCAGGGGGCAGAGTTAGTTACACTCGGGTGGCAGAGTTACCCCCGGTGGGCAGAGGTACCCCCGGGGGGCAGAGTTAATCTCGGTGGGCAGAGGTACCCCCGGTGGGCAGAGTTACCCTCGGGGGGCAGAGTTACCCCCGGGGGGCAGAGTTACCCTCAGGGGGCAGAGTTACCCCCAAAGGGCAGAGTTACCCTCGGGGGGGGCAGAGTTACCCTCAGGGGGCAGAGTTACCCCCAAAGGGCAGAGTAACCCTCGGTGGGCAGAGTTACCCTCGGGGGGCAGAGTTACTCCTGGTGGGCAGAGTAACCCTCAGTGGGCAGAGTTACCCTCGGGGGGCAGAGTTACTCCCGGTGGGCAGAGTTACCCTCGGTGGGCAGAGTTACCCTCGGGGGGCAGAGGTACCCCCGGGGGGCAGAGTTACTCCTGGTGGGCAGAGTTACCCTCGGGGGGCAGAGGTACCCCCGGGGGGCAGAGTTACTCCTGGTGGGCAGAGTTACCCTCGGGGGGCAGAGTTACTCCCGGTGGGCAGAGTTACCCCCGGGGGGCAGAGTTACTCCTGGTGGGCAGAGTTACCCTCGGGGGGCAGAGTTACTCCTGGTGGGCAGAGTTACCCTCGGGGGGCAGAGTTACTCCTGGTGGGCAGAGTTACCCTCGGTGGGCAGAGTTACCCCCAGGGGGCAGAGATACCACAAGGACTGATTCACTCAAAGGAAAGCATTTTATTTCATAGCTTCCTGAGGACTAATGGGCTGGCTCCCAGGGCCAGTGACATAGCTCCAATGACCTCCTGGCCACCAGCGTGGTGGGGCCTCTGGTCCAGTGGGGTCTAATAACAGGCTATTGCTGTTCCCAGCTGTCCAGAGGGGGCAGAGGCGGGGCTGAACCAGGTGGAGGTGCGACTCACACCGACTGCCCGCCTGTGAGCCTGCAGCCCACGCTCCTCGCGGGGCCCGCGCGGTCCTGTTTTGCAGGATGGCCAAGAACTCCCGCACCAGCCTCGCCAGCGCCTCCAGCGAGAACTACACCTTCTGCTGGAGGGTCTTCTGCGCCTGGGACTACCTCATCGGGAACCCGGAGGCCGCGGAGAGCAAAGCCGCAGCCATTGTGAACAGCATCCGGGTGAGTCGGCCTGTGCGGGCCGCCGAGGTCGCCGGACGTCGCTCACACCACGGCCTTGGCCGACGTGCCCCCGACCTGTCCCACCATCCAGCCGAGTACAGGAAGAAAATACTGGAACTCCCCTTTTATTGTTGTTTTTTCAATTTCATCTTTGTGAAATTGCAGTTTGCGTACCTTTGATAATTTGCATGATGCACGGCTGCCGTATTGCACGTAGAAACCTTGTAAGTGAATAGGCCCATGGAGGTGGGGACATCAGCTTTGCGCGTGAGCCCAGAGGACACCCAGTGAAAACACCCAGAGACCCGGGTCTGCTGGGCCCATGGGCAGCTAAGTGGTACCCTTGTTGAGAGAAACATTATTGGCATCCCTTCAGACGTCTAAATAATTCACCCTACCGTGTCCTCTTCCCAATCCCCGGGTTCCCGTTTTTATCCATTTATTATCGTATGAAGCTTGGTATCAACAGGGTCTCACAGAGACGTCTGGACTTGGAAGTCATGATGTGAACTACTGGGTAAGCCCTTTCTGGTCAGGAAATACGTCCGCGTCTAGAGTAATGTCTTGTGTGTCTCTCCTTGAAGGAAGCGATCCTGGAGGAACACGAAAAGAAGAGAAGGAAAAACCTGTACGTATGAGCCCCCCGAACCCCCCTGTGCCAAGTGCCCTGAGAAGCTGGTTTAGTTCGGTTCAGAGACGGACAGACAGTCTCTGTCTTCCTTCCACACTGTCCGACTGCTCATTTTTCTCCCTGAAATCTATTCTTCCAGTAACATACGTGGAGATCCCGTAATTTTCTTTTCTTTTTTTTTTTAATCCTCACCTGAGGACATTTTTGCATTTATCTTCAGATAGAGTGGGAGGGGGAGAGAGAGAGAAACATCGATGTGAGAGAGACACACGAGGGGCTGCCACCCACATGACCCCAACCGGGGCCGGGGACAAACTGCAACCGAGGTACATGCCCTTAGCGGGAACCGAACCCGGGTCTCTCTGGACCACGGGTTGACGCTCTAACCGCTGAGCCAAACCGGCCAGGGCAGGACCCCGTAGTTTTCAACACCAGTATTTAGGAGCGGTTCCGTCTTCCCTATGTCTGGCAAGAGAGGGAGCGATCCAAGGCCGACCAGCTTTCTGTTCCTTTACGTTGATGAGAAAAGAGGTACTTGTAGCATCAGTGCCTGGTTTGGTAAAACAAGCAAGGACTGGGTGTCTTGAGTAACATTCCCCTTAGGTCACAGGACGCAAATCGGACCCAGTTCTGGTTGACCAGCCTTCCACGGCGATGCCCCGGGTCTGAGGTTCTCCGGGTGTGAGGGCTGCCTCGTTGGGGCCATTCAGCTGGAGGACTGGTCACACGGGGCCGTGCCCAGGAAAGAGCTGTGGGCCCCGGGGGGCAGGCACGTCCGCTCAGGGCCCCGCGGCCAGTGTGCCGCCCTCATGCCTGCCGCTCCCTGCAGAGCGGTGACCGTCTGCCTGAGGGTCATCGCCAACATGCTGGTGCTCCTGTCCCTGGCTGGGAGCATCTACCTCATCTACTTCGTGGTGGACCGGTCCCAGAGGCTGGAGCAGTCCAAGAAGGAGCTGACGCTCTGGGAGAAGAACGAGGTGCCCGCGCGAGCCCCCAGCCCCTCGGTTTGCGGCATTTCTGGGGAGGGTAGAGAGGCTGTCCCCGTCAAGTTCAGGCTGCGTCTCCAGCAGGAGCTGCGGGCTCTGAGCCTCGTGGCAGCACCAGCTCGGCTGAGGGGCTTTGCTGCTCTCGGGAAGGTCCTTCAGAAGCAGCTGATGTTCTTGACCTTGGAGGTTTTTGTTTGTTTGTTTGTTTTGCTTCTCTCGCATGGTGTTTCGCTGGCACACCCAGAAACAGGCCGCCCCAGGCTGGCACCACGGCCGCGGCCGTCCAGTAGGTGTCAGCACTGAGCCGACTTTTCCCGCCGTGTGTGTGTAAACATTCCCAGGAAAATCACCGAGAGGACGGTTACAAACAATTGACTAATTCTTTTTCTAAATTACTTGTATCGATTGATCCTTAGAGAGAGAAAGGGGGAAGTATAAGCAGTGAGGTGTTGTGGTGCTTATTCACGCACTCCCTGCTCGATTCTTGTCTGTGCCTTGACGGGATCGAACCCGCAACCTCGGTGTATTGGGACGATGCTCTGATTGAGGTACCTGGCCAGGGCCTCAATTTCATCATTCTTTTTTTTTTTTAATTGTCACCCAAGGTGGGCCCAGCTGTGGGGGTGGGGGCCCGACTGTGGGGGGGTGATTGTGGGGGGGCCCGGCTGTGGTGTGGGGGGCGACTGTTGGGGGGGCCTGGCTGTGTGTGAGGGGCCCAGCTATGGGGGGGCCCGGCTGTGTGTGAGGGGCCCAGATGTAGGGGGGCGTCTGTGGGGGAGCCCGGCTGTGGAGGGTCTGGCTGTGGGGGGGGGCCCGGCTGTGGGGGGGCCAGCTGTGGAGGGTCCGGCTGTGGGGGGGGCCCAGCTGTGGGGCTCCAGGACAGTGTGCAGGGGACACGGACTCATTCAGCCTCCGTGCTCAGCCAGTCGTCCAAGCCTGAGACTCATTAGTAACCTCTCCCCGGATCGCTTTCCATGTGTCGTTTAAGTGGGTTCTGTCAGGTGGGTGTTTAGATACGTTCCTGAAAGACACGTTCAGAATCACTTCTGCCTTCAGCTCTCACCTCTGTGAACCAGCTGGGGCTCCGCTCTCATTGGCCATAAGTCCAGGGCAGAGGGAGCCAGGCCCAGTGTGGGACGCTGAGCGTCTGCGGAGAGCACCTCAGTTACTCCCCGCCGCCCCCTGATCCTGGGGCTGCAGGGATCCCGCCCCCACTGGCTCAGGGACGCGAACAGAAGGATGTGGTCGCGGAAACTCGGGCAGAAATGCTGCCGGATGGCGTGCGTGGGTGTGTGCAGACTAGGGGGTCCCCAGGTGGGGTCATCTCGTGGCAACGTGGTCTTTGATCAGCAGAGATTGGGGCTCCCCGGTGAGAGCAAAGTGACCCAGGTGACCCACGCGAGGGGCCGCGATCAGAGGTGAAGGGCACGGGGCGGGGCGGCACCGGCCCTCACGGGCGCGGCTCTCTCGCAGGTGAGCGTGGTGGTCTCCCTGGTGACCATGATCGCGCCGTCTGCCTTCGACCTCATCTCCGCCCTGGAGATGTACCACCCGCGGACCACGCTGCGCTTCCAGCTGGCGAGGTGCGTAGCCCCGCGGGAGACACCACGGTGGGGGTCCCCCTCTGCTGTCCCCGGGCCGCAGCCCAAGCCCCTCGAGAGTCAAGGCTTCATTGCCCCCGACGCTCGGCAAGAACATGCCCAGTGGGCGCATCTCGACCTGAGCCAGATGCGCAGGAAGGGGGGAGGGGCCGGAGGGAGAAGAGACCAAAAGCAGACACGCGAGGACCAAGGGGACAGAGCTGTGCCCGGTTCCTTCTGCCGAGCCCCCGTGGACTGACAGGGTGCCCGGGGCCGTGTGCTTTCCAGCGGGGGCCAGCAGAGAGCTTCGCTCACGATCCCCAAAAGCATGGACTCAGGTGGTTGTGGGTGATCGCACACCTGGTCTGAGGGGACGTCCCCAGACCACCCCACGGGGGTCAGAGGAGCCACCACGTCTGCCTGAAAAGCCCCGCCCCTGGGTGGCCTCCTCACCTCTCAGCTAAACAGTCGGTGTCGGGAGGACTGGACGGAGCGTGGGCAGAGGGCGTGGTCCGGCCTGCCTGCTGCCCCAGCTCATGGTCAGTCTGCGTCCTCGCGTGTCCTGCACCCACGGGAGGCTGCTCCTCAGGGGTCGGCAGACGTTTTCCAGAAGGGACCCGAGATTAGCTTTTCAGTTTTGCGGGTCACTTGGGGTCTCTGTCGCACCTGCTGGGCTCTCGGGCCGGAGCCGCACAGCAGCCATCTGGCCACAATACGTGGCGGAAAAGACGTGGCCACGTTATTTACAGAAGCAGGTGAGGGTTGGGGTCCAGCTCGAAGGCCGCGCTGGCCACCCTCTGCGCCCACTGTCCTTCCGAGATGCAGACGTGAGACGCCTCCGTGCAGGGCCGCTCTGGGGACCCTCGGCCGCGGGGGGGCCTGGTCTTCCCCCTCCTTGGCCTGGGGGCACAGGCCACCCCGCCTCCGTCCTTGGCCATGGTCCCTGGGAGAATCAGTTCCATTATTGCATTGGGTCCAATAGCAACCCTGTTACACAGATTGGCCTCGTCATTTATGTTCTAGAAAAACAGAGGCGTTGAGAGACGGGTGGTTCTGGTAACAGTAGGAGACGTGTTGTTTTAGGGCCACTAACTCCCCCGCCGACCCTGTTGCCTCTCGGCCGAGGCCCAGTGACGAGGTACAGACGCGGAGGTTGCAGGCCCAGCGCCTCCTGAGCCAGGGCTCACCCAGTGAGCGGAGCCCCGCCCTGTGCCGGTCCTCTGGGCGCAGAGATCAGGGCATCCTGGCGTGGCCCGAGGATGGTGCTCCCCAGGGTCACAGGGAGCGAGGTCGCAGCGGCGCCCGCGGGCTGCCCTCCTGGTCTCTGCTCCTCCCTGCGCACGGTGGTGAGCTCCGCTCCCGGGGAAGGAAGGGGCGTGGAGCGGGGGCTCTCAGGGTTTCGGTGGGGAGTCCTCTCTGCACCCTAGAGCTGCTCTGTTTCCCGGACTGGCGTTGGGTTTATGGTTCCTGGTGTGCTGAACCCTGTCCCTGGAGGTGTGTTAGCCGGTGTTTCCCTTCCTCACCGAGATTTCCCAGACGGGTCAGGTGGGAGTCCGGGCTGCATCCTGGCCAATTTCACGCTGTGTTTGCAGAACCTGCCGCCTTGGGGGGAACTGGCATCAGGTCTTGGACTGTGGGCAGGGCGGGCCTGTGGCTGGCAGATCTCCTCCACATGGTGCCCACACGGTGCCCACAGGTGCGGCCGTGCCCACAGCCCCCCCTGCCTCGGCCCCTCGGCGCACCACGGGCTCAGCCTGCATGTGGGCCCGGCCTCGATAACGGGGCCCCGAGCAGGTCACTCGCCCTCCCCCGGTTCAGCGCGTGTCCCTGAGGGGCTTGCGAGGCCGTGAACCTCCCAGGCTGGAGAATCAGGCGGGACGGTGCCGGAGAATCCCCTTCGAACCCGGAACGCATGGCACAAACACGCAGGTGCACCAGCTGCCCTGCCGAGTCCTCCCTCTTTCTGCCCCTGGCGGGGTGGTGCTGAGCCGAGGACGGGCACAGTGCAGCCAGCAGGACGGCGACACGGAGCCCCCGGCCCCCACGACGATGGGCAGGGTGGAGCCTGGGATTCTGTGTCTCAGCCCCCGCGGTGGTTCCGAGTGAAACTGCGTGTGGCAGCCGCTGTCTTGGCAGCACCACGACCATCACCTCTAAGTTGTGGCAGGTCTGGGACCAGGGACTTCTGGGTGTTGTCTCTGAAGGTGGGCGTGTGCCTTTCAGGGTCCTCGTGCTGTATCTGGGGAACCTCTACAGCCTGATCATCGCTCTGCTGGACAAAGTCAACAGCATGAGCACCGAGGTGAGAGCCCGTCCGGGCAGCTGCCCACCCGGCCACTCCACACGCACGGACACACGGACAGACACACGGACAGACACACACGGACACACGGATACATAGAGACACACACACGGACACACACATGGACACAGACACACACGGACAGACGCACACACGGACACACACATGGACACAGACACACACGGACAGATGCACACACGGACACACACACAGACATGGACACACAGACACACACACATGGACACACGGATACACACAGAGACACACACACGGACACACACATGGACACAGACACACACGTACAGATGCACACACGGACACACACAGACACACGGACAGACACACACACGGACACACGGATACACAGACACACACATGGACACACACACATGGACACACACAGAGACACACACATGGGGACACAGACACACACATGGACACAGACACACACGGACACACAGACACACACATGGACACACACACAGACACACACACGGACAGACGCACACACGGACACACACAGACACACACGGACACACACATGGACACACACACACACACATGGACACAGACAGGCACACAGGTACACACAGAGACAGACACAGACACACAACACATATACAGACAGGTACACACAGATATACATACCAACAGACAGACACACAGATACAGTCACAGACAGACTCAGATATACACAGACACTTGGACATACAGACAGACACATGCATGGACACACACACGGACACAGACAGGTGCACTGATACACACATAGAGACAGACACACATGGACACACAGACACATGCATGCACACACACAGAAACACACAGACACATGCATGAACACACAGAAACACGGACACACAGACAGACACATGCATGGACACACACACAGACACACGGACACAGACAGGTGCACTGATACACATAGAGACAGACACACACGGACACACAGACACATGCATGGAACACACACACAGACAGACACATGCATGGACACACACAGACGCACGGACACAGACAGGTGCACTGATACACACATAGAGACAGACACACAGGTACACACAGACAGACTCAGATACACACAGACACACACCCAGCAGGGTCCTCATCATCGTCCACATCACTGCTCATACTCGTACCCCCTGCATCACATTCAGAAGTCATCTCGCTGGGGGTCTTTTCAAGGGAAGGGGAGAAAAATCAGCCCCATTTGCAAGGGGAAGAAGCTGAGGCCGGGTTCAAGTCTCGCAGGGACAGCGCTGGGATGAGAGCTAACCTGGGTGTTTTGCCTCCAAGTCTCTCCGCTGTGCGTGTCCTTGAATCGCACGGGGAGACGCTGTCGGCAGCCATCGCACCTGAACCCAGGAGGCAGCGGGCTGTGGGAGCTTAGGAAACGGGGGGCTTTCCGTGGGCGCAGTCCAGAGGGCCCACCTTCCCGCCCAGGGAGCCTGGGAGCTCGGGGTGACCTGCTCCTCGGAGGACGTCCGCCCTGGGGGTCTGGGGGCGGGGGGTTCTCAGGTGTTTGCCCCGCTGCATCGGCACCCACTCAGGCTCACAGGCCGAAGAGGCGACAGAGAACGGTTCTGAGCGGGTTTGTGTATTTATTTATTTATCCTCACCCGAGGACATTTTTCCTTTTTTTTGATGTTGTTCAAATAGAGTAGGAGGGAGAGAGGGAGGGAGAAACATCGACGTGAAAGGGACACATTGTGTGGCTGCCACCCGCATGGCCAATGAGGGCCGGGGACAAACTGCAACCGAGGTACGTGCCCTTAGCGGGAACCGAACCCGGGTCTCTCTGGACCGCAGGCCGACGCTCTACCCGCTGAGCCAGACCGGCCAGGGCTCTGTGCGGGTTTTGACGTTGCGGAGACTAGGTCCCGGCCTGCCACCCGGCAGCGTGAGCTCCCAGGTGACCTCTGACGTGGGCAGTTCTTACCCGGCCCCCGTGAGTGCGGTTCCGTTCGCCCAGAACGGTCTCCGCCACGCAGCGGGGACTTGGCTCCCAGCTGTGTTCCCTTCGGGGCCGCCGCGGCCCGCGGCTTCCTGCCGGGCTCGAGAGACAGGAGACGGGGAGCTTGTCCCAGGAGGTGACGGCGGCTCCCCCTGACCGATGTGGATGCCCTTGACTTCTCCCTTCCCCTCCGCCCCTCCGCCACAGGAAGCTGCCACCAAAAGTAACTCAAGCCACTGGCCGGACGCCACCGCCCTCTTTGCCACCAGGACAGCCCCTAAAGAGGAGCAGTGGCCCATGCCCGGGCCGGGCACGGCACTCGGCAGAAACAGCACGTGGGCCCTGGGGTCAGCGGGCGTCCCCGCGTCCCCCCCGACGCTCTCCCAGGCCAACCAGACGTCCGGCACCCTGCCGAGCCCACAGGGCCAGTGCTGGGAGACCTACGTGGGGCAGGTGAGAGCCCCCCCGCGACGGCCCTGTCATCACCCCGCTCAGGCACCTCTGAAGTGTCATTATCCGTGCGGTATAGAAAAGAGAAACGGGGTTTGGTGACAATTGAGGGGTTTCCTGGTCTCACGGTGAATGATGATGATAATCAAACACTCATGTCGTGTTGTCCGTGTCCCAGGCCCTGTTCCAAGTGCTTGGTCCTCGTAAGAATCCTCTTATCACCCTGGCCGGTTTGGCTCAGTGGTTAGATCATTGGCCTGTGGTCCGGAGAGACCCGGGTTCGGTTCCTGCTAAGGGCATGTACCTCGGTTGCAGTTTGTCCCCGGCCCTGGTGGGTCGTGCGGGTGGCAGCCACTCGATGTGTCTTTTTCACATCAATGTTTCTCTCTCCCTCTCTCCCTCTGTTCCTCTCTCTCCCTCCCCCTCTCTCTGAACAAAAAATGGAAAAATGTCCTCGGGTGAGGATAAGAAAAGAAATTTTCAAAAAAATCCTATTATCATCACCCTAATAGGCCCAGATGGGAAACTGAGGCACACGGGGTTCAGACCCGACCCAGGCCCTGCTCCAGGCTCAGTGCTCAGTGCTCAGACCCAGCCTGCCACGGATAACTGTGCCAGAGACTCGCCCCCGAGGCTGAGCGACGGGCCTTGAGCAGTCTCCTGCGGATCTGGGCCACAGGCCTCAGGCTCCTGTACGTGGACTGCTGGCCCTGGACACGGACGCTCACCTGGATGGGCACTGACTCGGCACCCTTGGGTGCTGGGACGAATCAGGGCCCAGGGCCTCCAGCCCACAGGCATGAGCTGCTGCAGACGCTGAAGGGAGGGGCAGGGCCGGCGAGCATGGGGCACCGAGGACACCCGTGCTCACTGAGGACGCCTGCTTCCAGGAGATGCTGAAGCTGTCCATCATCGACATGCTCTTCACGGTGGCCAGCATCCTGCTCATCGACTTCTTCCGGGGGCTCTTCGTGCGGTACTTGAGCGACTACTGGTGCTGGGACCTGGAGAGCAAGTTCGTACGTGAGACACCACGTCCTTCAGGGAGGTTCCTGTGGGGAGACCGTCCTTCCCTGGGTCTGACCTGGGGGACACGCGGCCGAGAGAGAACTCGCGAGGGCGGGGAGAGTGGACAGAGCCGGGTCTGCGTCTCCGTGACTCTGCGGTGCCCGGGCAGGCGGCACTGGGCCGTGTCTCTAAGGGCAAAGGCCTCTCTGGTTCTGCAGGGAGCTGCGTCCCACCCACAGCTCGGGGCCACGCCTTGTGGCCATTTATTCTCTCTTGTAGCCTGAATACGGGGAATTCAAGATTGCGGAGAACGTGCTGCACCTGGTCTACAACCAGGGGACGATCTGGTAGGCGCCAGGGGTCACGGCCGTCTGGGTGGCTGTGACCGCAACAGACACATCCTGGGGTGGCCCCGTCCTCGCCCACGGGCCCAGACCGGTCACTCTCAGAAGGACCTCCGTTTGGATGATACAGGGTCGTCCACCCTCACCACAGACCAGCGATTTTCAGCCTTTTTCATCTCGTGGCAAAGAACTAAGTACTAAAATTCTGCAGCACAGATCTGACCCCCCCCCCCCCCCAAAAAAGAGAGATGATTTTGATTCATTCATACCGACCGGCTATTGTGTTGGCTATTGGTGGTGGTTTTTTTTTCCCTCTAAGGAAAAAGAGATCAGGCCCCTGCCTAGATGGTCCAGTGGTGCAGGGTGAGGATCCTGGGGCCCAGGTGTTGAAAGCGGGGCTGTGGACAGACCTGGGGAGCTCGCCCGACACTGCCTGTCCCGCTGGCTGCCATTTGCCCCATCACCAGAAGGGGGCGTTTCCTTCGCTGAGTGTGAAGACAGAGGGGTTTTAAGACAGGGCCACTGCTCACCTGCAGGAGTGACTTGCTTTTGTCTGCAGAAGGGGTGTGGGAGTTGGGGTTGGGTCTCAGCCCCTTCGGGCCCCCCAGTTCTCTGAGCGCAGGGTGTCCACCTCGGGGTCTCAGAACCACGACAGACCAGAGAGAAGCTGGGTGCTCACCGGCCTCCCTCTCGGTTCCAGGATGGGGTCCTTCTTCTCCCCGTGCCTCCCTGCCTTCAACGTCCTCAAACTGATCGGGCTCATGTACCTGCGGAGCTGGGCGGTGCTCACCTGCAACGTGCCCCATCAGCAGGTGTTCCGAGCGTCCAGGTACAGCCCAGTCTGTCCCACAGGAGCCCGTCCGCCTCGCCTGGTCCCGCGTGTCCTCCGTGCGAGCGCCTCCGCCCCCTGCCCTGTTCATTTCCTCCGCGGAGCCTCCCGGGGCCCCGCCCAGGAATTAATCTCCACGCCTCGGGAGCTCACGGGCATTTTTAGAAACTGTCCCCGAAGTTCAATAATCCGGTAGAAAGTGCACTTTTCATAAACATCCAGTTTGATGAATATTCACAAACGGAAGACATGTGACCAGCATGTCAAAACAGAACAGGGACGTCCCCCGGAACCCCTTGCACAGAACCCCAGTTTCTGCTGACTTCTGCCCGGGTTTTGCTTCGCGTGGATGGGGTCACACGCCAGGTGTTCCCCAGGCTTCTCCCTCGGCGCGAGGTCTCACCCACGCTGCCGTCGACGGGCACAGGGGCAGTGCCAGCCGCTGGCCATGTGGGCGATGCCCTTGTTGGGAGACACCCAGGCCTTCAGCGGTGGGGTCACGGGCCCACTTCTGCCCCCACCGGCCGACGGCGCCAGGAGGTCACACCTTTGCTCTCCCGCGAGGGTCCGGTTGTCCTGCGGCCTGGACAACACTTGTTTTTCCCGGTGTTTTTCAGTTTAGATGTTTTGGTGGATTTTATCACACATTTTGAACACCTTAAGCTCGTTTATTTTATTTTGACATCGTAGTTTTTTACGTGGGTCTTTATCAGTGGCTTTCAGACTTGATGACCGCGACCCGGTTAGACGGAGGCGGTATACGTCGTGTATGTTATAGGTAGTGCGGCGTATACGCAGTGGACATACGGCCGTCCATCCTCAGACATGAGCGAGGAGGTCAAGGCTGGGAGCAGGGGAGGGAGGTGTTAGGTGAAGACCAGGTGGATCGGACGGAGGTTCTAACAGTTTCCCACGAGTTCAGCTCATCGGGTGGCAGCAGGGTCCACGTCTGTCGTGCCCTGAGTGGGCGGGTGCCCGGCAGGTGTTCAGTAGACGGACAGATCGGGCGGGTGACCGGTGAGGTCTCTGTGGGCCCCGACTTCAGGTTTGCCAAGCTGCCGTGACCCTCCCAGACCCACTCCCCACCGGGGGGGTGGACAGTGCTTCTGTTTGCAGAGAGTTGGGGCTGCGGTTTCTGGGTCTGTTCTCGGGCGAAGGGTCGCTGGCGCCTGGCCGGCGGTGTCTCGCAGGTCCAACAACTTCTACCTGGCCATGCTGCTGTTCATGCTGTTCCTGTGCATGCTGCCCACCGTGTTCGCCATCGTCCGGTACAAGCCGTCCCTGCACTGCGGGCCGTTCAGGTGAGCGAGCCCCGCCCGGTCAGCCCTGCCTGCACGCGGGGACCCCTCCGGCTCAGGACCGGGTGAGGGCGGCCCTGCCCTGTGACCGTCTCCTCCGGCAGAGACACGGCCCATTGGAACCCAAAGGGCAGCAGTGTCGCTCGGGGGCTAGAGAGGCTGCCTGGTCAGCCAGTCTCCCGTCCAGAGCTCGGGGGCTCTGCCTGGAGGGGGCCCTGCTTGCTCCCCATCCTGTGTCACCCAGGCCAGGGCAGAAACCCCACGTTACCCCGCCAAGCAATTAAGTTTGTTTAGATACCTCGTCTGTGGAACATTCGAGCCTGTTCGTATACACTGTTCACACCTCACACACACACACTCACTCACACACTCACACACTCTCACACTCTTACACTCACACACTCTCTCACACTCACACACACTCACACTCACACTCTCACACTCACACACACACTCTCACACTCTTACACTCACACACTCTCTCACACTCACACACACTCACACTCTCACACTCACACTCTCACACTCACTCACACACACTCACACACTCACACACCACCCCCAGGATTCAGGACCCACCTTCAAAGCTGCACAGTAACCAGATGACCCCTCCCGGGCCGTCCGCGCGTGGTCCCTGTATCTTGCGGTCAGGGGTGCCCTCCCGTCGCACAAGGGCTCGGAGGACTGTGCTCAGCCAGGAGGCCCGGCTCTCTTCCTTGCAGTGGGCAGGAGAAGATTTACGACGTCGTGTCAGAGACGATCGAGAAGGACTTCCCGGCGTGGCTCAGCTCCGTGGTGGGGCACGTGAGCAGCCCCGTGGTGATCCTGCCCGCCGTGCTGCTGCTCCTGTGAGTGCCCCTCGCCTCCCCCAGCTGGGGGGGGGGGTCCTGTGCGGCCAGCGGGCAAGCTCTGCTTCCCATGAATTAGGTAAAACCAGGGAGTTTGTGCGCAAGTCCCTTCAGGGGCCCCAGGACCGAAGCAGGGACTCCGAGCAGGCAGGCAGGTGCCCACTGGAGGGGGTTGGGTGCCGTGGTCGCCCTCCTGTTCCCCAGACGTTTAGACCATCAGAAGGAACCTCCCAGGGCAGCTTCTGCTCGGGGTTCGAGGGTGCTCCTGCCCTTCATGGGGACCCATGCGGAGCCCCAGGCAGTGGAGGTTGCTGGGAAAGCAAGACAAGGGAAGGAAAGCAGCCCCTTCCCAGCGCTCCTGGGTTAGGAACTGGAACTGCTGAGCCCTCCTGTCTGGGGGAGGGCGGTGGGTGCCCCCTCTGGTCCCCGCGCGCAGCCGGCGGGAGCGTGGGGTCGAGGCGCGCTGAGCGTCCTTGCTGTTCTGTCCCAGCATGCTCATCTACTACCTGCAGAGCATCGCGAGGTCCCTGAAGCTCAGCAACCAGCAGCTCAAAGTGCACATCCAGAATGCAAGTACCCCGTCTGGGCCGTGCGCCTGCACCGCGCGGGCCGGTCTCCCCAGCAGGGGGGGCTAGTGAGACCACGGTTTCAAACCACTAGGACGTTGGCCACCCGGCAGGGTGCAGGCTGACCTCTCCTCCCCCCAGGTCCCCCCTGAGTCATTTCTGAGAGTCCCCCGGGGGCCAGGATGGCTCTCATCGGCCCAGGGAGGCGCCGGCCTGTGCGTCCTGATGCCCTGGACACTGCAGTGCCGTCCTGTGGCCACGCCGAGTCCTCTCTCTTCTGTGGGCTGTGCTGGACGGGGTAGGGCCCCTGGGTCTGCGTCAGCTCGGGCATCTGAGCCCCAAGGCACTGCTCAGACCCAAAGACCACCTTCAAACCTGTTAGGTTCTGGTGGTCCTCAGACCTCAGCCGTCAGAACAGCGAGGAAGCCGCCCCCCATCTCCACTGCTCCCACACCCCGCTGCCCCCCAGGCCAGCACTCAGCGAGGCGGGCGAGGCCCCGGGGCGCCAGGTCTGAGGAGGCCCCAACTGGGGGCCACACAGCCGCGCCCCTCAGCCGGCACCGGCGTTCGGGTGGCCTGGGCGCCCCGTGGCCTCACCCTGTCCCAGATCCCGTGCCAGAAACTTCCACCTCTTTTCGTTTCCTTACAAACACCTCCCCAGAATCGTCGGTTCTCGTGAAGAAGTACCGGCTTACCCCATAAACAGTTCCAAAAGCAAAGCGTTGGGGCGGCAAGCAGCGTTTTTGTGGAGACACGTCTCCCGTGTCGCCGATCGCGTTTCGTCTCGCGTGTCTCCGGCACACCGTCCTTGGCAGAATCCAAGCGGTTCTCCAGGGGCTGAAATGAGCCGTGGGGGGGGCAGGATTTGAGCTCCCCGGTGTCAGCGTCTGTCCACCCGGGGCCGAGCGCCCAGCGCCCTGTCCCTGGGCAGTTAGTTCCGTCAGGCTGGAGGTCTGAGCCGGGGGCTTACATCCTGTCCCCACGGAACGGTGCTTGTTACTGCTTCCTACTGAACCCCAACAAATAGAGGGTCACCGTTTGTATTCCAGGCAAGGTCTGAAGATAAGAAGAAGGTCGCCCAGATGGTGGAAGGTGAGTGTGGAGACAAAGGTGCGAGGTTCTTTGTTGCGGCCTTTTCATGCAGAGCAGTCTCGGGCACACAACTTGGGAGCGCTGTGGATGAGCTCTGGGCTCACCATTAACCGGGCATAGCAAAGTGGAAACGTTGGTGTAAACCTAAAGTTTTTACGTTGCCCAGGCCTGTGAATGGCTCCCAAACATGCTTGAAATCAGAAGGGGATGTTGAAGTAGGAATGAAACCCCATGAGGACACCTCTGTCTGGTTTGCTTGGTGCCTCTCCGTCCACGTCTCGTGTTTTCCCTGCAGGGCCCTTCCTCGGCCTCCGTCCAGGCCCGGCCTCCTGGGGTGCGGCCCCGGCTGGTTCACGGCTGCAGGGCAGAGTCCTGCGTGGGAACCCACCCCAGGGGACACACCTGCTCCCCTCATTGTGTGGGCTCAGAGGGGAAGGAGAGACGGCCCAGGGACAAGGGAGAATAAGGAGCAGAGGTCTTAGCTCCTTAGACGGGGCGGGCACAGCTCCAAGGACGCGGCTGGCCCCGGGGACCACCGTAGCTCAGAGGTGCCTGGGCAGAAAGGGCACCGTCCCATCCTCGGGAAAGGGAGCCCAGAAAGGTCTGTGGGCCGACTCTGCTTCTCCCCTGAGCTGACTGGTAGGGACCTGTCCCCGGGGGGAGAGGCCTGCGTGGGGTCCTGAGGTCCCCGGGTGGTCCTTGCCTATCCATGGTGCACGGAAGTCACTGTGGCAGGGACCACAGCTCATGCTACAGACATAAAACCCCCTGAATTGTCCGGTACTATTTCTCAAGGCCGTGTTTGTGGGCTTCCTCGGGGTGACGGCCCAGTTGTCCAGCCCGCGGTCTGGCTCAGGGCACGTACCTCGTTCTGTGAACTTCCCAAGAAGTCATAATTGTCATGTTAGCTTCATCACATCCATCATAGGGGAAGAGCCCGAGCCCGGCGCTGGGAGTCAGCCCCTGTGCCTCCTGGGGTGCCGGTGGTGTGCCCGCGAAGCCGGGGGTTGTCCGTCCCTCCCACACCCCCGCCCAGCCCCAGCTTCCTGGGAATCACGGCTCGTCTGGGCCACGGTTTAGGTGCATCCACACCTTCTGCAGAGCCAGCTCGGCAAGTCCTGACGCTGTTGCAGCTGAGCCCGCCGAAGGCACCCCTGAGCTCCCCTCACACCCTCCCTCTTCCTGCAGCCCGGATCCAAACCCGGGAGGACGGCCCCAGGAGGCTGCCGGAGGACAGTCAGCTTGGCAGCCAGCTGTCCCTGACTCTCTTGGCGACGCCCCAGAACAATGGCCACGTGGGCAGCTTCCACTCGGCCAGCAGCAGGAGTGGCGGGGCGGAGACGGTCACCCAGCCCGCGCCCCAGAGCCCCCTGCTGGGGCCCAGCCACCCCAGATCCGGGCCAGAGTGCGACACCTACAGGTGAGCGTGGCTGCAGGACCGCAGGACACCTGCCCCTTCCGAACGGCCGTGCGGTGGCCACGTAGTCGTCCGCCAGGCCGCGTCCGCGTTGCGCGGGGTCGGGCGTTTGTCCCTCACACGCGCGAGACAGCGTGGAAACTGCGTGATGCTCTCACCAGCTCGTGTGGAGAACCACTGTCGATCTGCGTGTGACGTGGGGTTGGCTTTTTCCTTTAAAGGCAATGCCTGAGTCAGCCCAGAATCGAGTCCTGCTGTGCCAGGGGGTGTCCTCGGTGGCGGGAGGGGGGCTCCATAGTCCCGGCCGGCTGGGCAGCTCCAGGAGAGAGGGCTGAGGAGCGTGTTCCCGACACGGGCGCCACAGGGCCAGCCCCGCTGCGTGCGCCTGCACAGGCCGTGGCGGAGTACCTTAGCAAAGCTCTGGTGCCCCCGCAGGTCACGCGCCCCTCGGGGCATGGAGGGCTCTGAGGGTCGCAGCAGGAGAAGCCTGCAGGCAGCCTGGGCTGCAGTCCCCGGACGTCCTGTAGCGAGAGCCCCAGGGCCGCGTGCTTCCCTGCCTGTCTTGCAGGCATCCACGTGGTCCGCGTGCCGGCCCAGGTGACCGTCGCCAGAACAGATCCTGCGCCCCCGTGACCGTGGCAGAGCACATCGAGGGTACTCGCTCAGAACCCCTTTTTCGAAAAGACTTTGAGCGCGTGGGCCCTCGTCTCCACGGACCAGGGGTCTCGGGCCCGGTGCCCTCTGCGCACAGACCCCGCGCCCCCAGGTACTATCTCGCGAATGAGTGTGACTCTCACAAAAGACACCACCCAACACTCTGGCCAGAAGGACATTTCAAGATAGATGCCTCGGGGGGTGTTGTGGAGGTGTACCCCAGGAGTATACAGCACTGGGGGCCCCGGGCCCCCCAGCGGGCTCGCTCCCCGCCGCCGAGTGAAGACGAGGAGACACTGAGGGGAGAGCGGAGCCGCTGGGCGCTGCAGCCCTGCTCCCTGGCACACCTGCCCGGGGCTCCTCGCTCCGCCGGCCACAGGTCAGGGAGCCACACCCCGGCTCCCGGGCACCCGAGACAGGGGCACTCCCGGCCTCGGACGGATGCTTCCGACAGGCCGACACGCGCGCAGAAGCAGCCCCGCTCCCGGCGTCCCCAGCACCACCAGCACCCTCTGCGGCCCCGCGTCCAGCCCCGGTTTGAACCGTCCCTCTCGGAGTCCGACTCCATGTCGGCGGCGTCCAGTAGCGACCAGCAGGATAGCAGCACGGACCAGTACCTGCAGGTCACCCGCAGACACGGCCGGCTCCCGAGGTGTGCGGGCCACGGCGGCAGGAGGAAGGCCTCCCCGAGGCAGGAGCTGACCTTGGAGCTGAGTGACCTGGTCTGTTCACACGTCTAGTGGGTGCTCCTGGTGGTGGGTTCGGAGGGATCAGAGCCCTCCCGGAGAGAGGCCGAGCGCGCCCGGGGGGCGTCCGAGACCTGGGGGGCAGCTGGGTTGTTTGCGGGGGTCTCCCGCATCTGGCGTCTCTCACACATTAAGCCATCGTTTCAAAAAGACTTCAGTTCTTGCCTCCGCCCAGAGCGACCGAAGTCAAAGGCAGGCCTGACAGCTCACACCAACCACAGGCTTCCCCGAGAAGTCCGTGCCTGCCCTGGGTCCTGCGAGGGCACAGTCTCCAGCAGGTGGGACTCCGTCCTCTCCAGTCAGCGCCTCGAGGGAGGTGGCCGCCCTCGGAGATGCCACGGCGCTCGGTCAGCTCACGTGCATAACCAGCTTCGCGGTGACGGGGAACTGGAATTCCTGCGACTGGCTCGGTCTCCATGTTCATTAGTCAGGACACCCAGGCTGGAGTGACAGGCCCACAGGTTTCTGGGTTCCTCTGACGGGGAAGGATAGGAGTCAAGGGGCCTTCAGGCTCAGCTGGACCCAGGACCTCGGGCATCCCTGGGGTTGCTGTTCACCTGCAGCTCTGCTTCTGTGTGCGGACTTTCTGTCCTGCTGCCGGGGGGACAGCCGTCCCTCCCGTGCGGGTTACTCTCCTGCGCGTGGAGGCCCTTGCGTCGCCAGACCTGCACCCCACTCCTGTCTCCGTGACAGCTCGTCACTCTCCTCTCCTGACTGAGTGCTTTGGGGACAGGAAAGGTGTTCACACATGTGTGCAGCCCCAGTAAATGACACATAAATGAAACGTCCTAGGATGTCCCCGGCCTGGGTGACAGCGAGAAGGGCGGCACCTGCGCTTCACAGTCCCTTTGGGTGACGGCTTCCCAGTGTCCCTCAGCTGTCAGGCCCTGGCAGGGAGGAGGCCGGGGAGGCCAAGTACCGACGGGGGTGTGCGCCTCGCTGTCAGAAATCTGTCCTAGAGCCTGGCCGGTGTGGCTCAGCGGTTAGAGCGGCCCGTGGACCACACAGTCTTGGGTTTGATTCCAGTCAAGGGCACGTACCCCGGTGGCCGCTTGGCCCCCAGCCCTGGTCGGGTCGTGCAGGAGGCAACCAGTCCATGTGTCCCTCTCACATCAGTGTTCCCCCCTCCCTCCCTCCCTCCCTCCCCCTCTATCTGAAGATAAATGGAAAAATACCCTCGGGTGAGGGTTAAAAAAGAAGTAAATCTGCCCCGGAAACACCGGAGCACACACTCCTCCCAAGCCGGAGAGGTCAGCGCAGCACACCCTTCACCTGTGAAGAGTGAGCCGGTGATCAGGGTGGTGAGGCAGATCGTGGGAGCCTGTGGTTGCGTCGCTAGAAGACTCGCTTCCAGCGACTTTGCGTGTGTTTCTGTTCTTTGTGAGGTTTTTGTTTCTCTTAGTGTTTTCCTGGCTCTTGGTAAACGGCGGTTCTCAACCTATGGGTCGCGGCCCCTTTGGGGGTCGAACGACCTTTCACAGGGGTCGCCTAAGACCATTGGAAAACATATTTCCGAGGGTCTTAGGAACCGAGACATGGCCCCTCTATCTGTCTCCTGGCGGGTGCGCCCACACACACATACGCCCACAGACAGCATGAGGAGCTGCATTAGGGGTCGCAGCCTCAGGAGGGGTGAGAACCACTGGCCTAGAGGGAGTAGGAGGCAGGAGAGGATGGGAGCAGACAGGAGGGAGAAGCTGACTGGCTGCTGGGCCCCGTTTCCTGACCTGTGAAATGGGGGCGTGGTCTCTCCCATAATGCCGTGGTGGTGTCCGGAGGGGTGAATGGCATGATATGGGCCAAGTGGTTAGTTAGAGTGGCTGGCAGGTAACGTGCTGAGTCACAGCTGTTGCTAAGCGACGTGTAAACAAACATACACAGGCCCAGAGAGTAGCTTCGCCCAGCAGCTGGGAGCGGAGTGTGCGCCCACATTTCTGTCTGTGCGGACACAGCTCCATGCAGGGGCTCTTAGGATTGGGGCGCCTGCACCTCGGCCTCGGTGGTCTGGGCTCCCTACCCCATATCATCTATTTAAAACTCCCCTGGGACTTCGTGAGGGCTGCTCCGGACTTCACGGCGGGGCCCTGAGCTGTGGAGGCCACGGAGCCCAGGCCTCCTCCTTCCTGTCGGCTCTGACCCTTAGCCACAAGCAGGTTGCAAAACAGTGCGGCTGTGTGGGCAGTCCCCACCTCCCTCCGCTCCAGGGGAGCGCATCCCGCCCCATTCCCGCAGAGGCGGAACAGGGCAAGGCCGCCCAAGGCTCCCGCTCCCAGCCCCTGCTGCAGCTCGTCCCGGCCTCCGGGTCCGCGGTGTGCTCCTTCGAATGCGCGCCTGCTGGGCTCCCCACCTTCCGGCAGGGAATCTCAGAGTGCTAAAAAGGTTTTAAACCCACGCCCCATTCTGATCAGCATAAAAACGTCTTAGGTGTTTGACGTCTGACAAAAGTCACTTTCTACAGCAGGACTGTTTCCCACCATTGTTGTCTCAGAGTTTCGCCCCCAAACAGAATCCCAGCGGGCCCCCGCCTGACCGGATCTGGGGCTGCAGCTGTAGAGAAGGAGCTACATTGATACATATTTTTTATTTTACAGAGGGTTTTTTTTTAGTTTAAAAATTCCTACATGTTAGCAGTTAAAAAATTGTATGTGGCCCTGGCCGGTTTGGCTCAGCGGTTAGAGGGTCAGCCTGCAGTCTGGAGAGACCCGGGTTCGGTTCCCGCTAAGGGCACGTACCTCGGTTGCGGTTTGTCCCCGGCCCTGGTTGGGTTGTGAGGGAGGCAGCCACTCGATGTGTCCCTTCACGTCGATGTTTCTCTCTCTCTCCCTCCCACTCTATCTGAACAAAAAATGGAAAAAATGTCCTCGGATGAGGATAAAAATATAAAATAAAATAAAAAATTGTATGTGATGATATAAAATGATAGGAAAATACCCTTTGCATTGCTTCCCACTGTTAACATTTATACCTTTCTGGAAGCGAATACCGTGTATATATATAAATATATGAGCACATTTCTAGCTATATTTCGCTCAAGATATGCGCCATTCTAATTGCTATTCATGTGTTAAATCCTTTGACCCAGGTGCCAGTTGCATGAATGAGGACTGTTTCTCTCATTTTGCAAATGGGGATGCTGAGGTCTGGAATGGTCAGTCCCTGACCAGGGTCACAGCTCGTGAGCGGTGGTGCTGAGGTTTGAGCGGGGCAATCTGACTTGAGCCCCGACTGACCTGCAGCGCGGCTTACCTTCCGCTCACGTCGCCGACTGTCGATGTACGGACTGTGGCGAGCGCTCCTTGTCGGCACACGCATCGGACATGCGAATGCTTAGGGGTGGGTGGGAGAACTGAGAGACTATTAAGCTATTTCTTTACGTTAAGTGTTAAAAGCTGTGTGTTTCGTGTGTAGAGAGGAAGTCGCTCTTGGTTAGAATCATCTGCTCATATCAGGTCATATTTCTATAGCATCTCCCTGCCCCAACACCTTCCTCTGTGCTGATACTGTTCCACTGGGGAACACCCTGCAACTTTGTTTCATCTGTTCGCAAGGAGGGTGTTTCCAGCTGCACGATTAGTCTTACATGTCTTTGTGCAGGAGTTACTGGATGGAAAAACGAGTGAGTTACAACTTGAATACTTTTGCTCTTGGAATGTTAACTAAATGTGCACAAAACCAACGGTTTCTCCCTGCACTGCAGGGAGTCAAAACTGTTCCCACTTGCTCATCAGATAGGTGTGAAAAGTGCCTCCTGTTTTAATTAGTAACTCTCCCTAATTAGGAGGAGGGTGCCGCCTCTTTATTAGCCATGCTCATTGTTTCCTGCGAATGATGATGTGTCCCTGTCCCGTGCAGTCTTCCTGACTTGTCAGGACACTTTGTACATTAAGACAGTGACTTTCAGTTAAAACGTGCTCCTCTTTGTCTCTCTGATCATTGACTTTCGACGCTAGTTTTGATGTGCTTCATTTTTTTAAATGTGGGTACTGATTGGTCTTTTCTTCTGGGGCTCCTACCCTGCTGGGCCCTCGACCTGGGCCCCTCCCAGGGCTTTGCGGGACCCGCCCTGGGGTGATGTGTCTTGCGGAGCCAGTCCTGCCAATCTCAGAGCGGGGCGGGGTCGGCCTGAGGGCCTGGGCCAATCGGGGGGCAGGGGCGGGGTGGGGCGGGGCTCTGCGCCTGCCTGGGCCCAGGTTTCCGGCCTCACGGAGCATCCACCAGCCGGGCGACCCTGCGGCCGCGTGGCCCTCGCTGCAATGGACCTGGTGCAGGCGGCGCAGCTGGGCGAGGCGGTGGCCGAGAAGATGCTCCGGTACCGGCGAGACCAGTCGGGCTGGAAGATTTGCCGCCAAGGCGTGAGTGATGAGTTGCAAGGGAGGGTCCTGGGGCCTCTGCTCCCTGGGGCTGGGGTCCATTAGGCCCCCAGGCTCTTCCTCTCCCTCTAGATTGAGATGGGGGCGGGGCGTAGGGAGGGGGTTTCCCTTTGGCACAGCTACTGGGTCATTGTGTGTACAGCTGGGGGTAAGGGTCTGCCCCTTCCTTGGTTAAGTTGAGTGTCCCCTCCCTCTGCGTTCCCAAGAGGGTGTCCTGGGGACAGTTCCCGTACTGGACACATGGACCTCAACTGCTCAAGGAAGTACAGTGGCGGCTTTGAAGGTGGTTGAACAACTACTCAGATCTTGGGGTTCGCCAGTTACGAGCCTTCCTCTGTCAGGGCCAGGATGTGATCAGTGGGGTCACCTCGGAGGCCCTGAGCCCCGTCCTGAGGACAGGGGTGCTGGGCCAGGTCACGGCCCCGGGCCCTCCTTGCTCTGACAGCCTGCGGTTCTTGCCTTCTGACAGAACGGAGTTACGGTTTCCTGGCGGCCCTCCGTGGAGTTCCCAGGGAACCTGTGAGTGCTCATCCCCGGTTCCGGGCCGGGCGGGCGCCACACCCCTCCTGAGCGCGGGGGTTTCCGTCCTGGCCGGTCCGGTCCACCCAGCCTGCCAGCGCCCTTCCAGAAAGCTTGTTTCTGGCTAAAGCACCTCCAGCCACCTGTAGCCTTCCGAAAGCTTGCCGTCCGTCCGTCCCCGCAGCCTGAGGGGCCCGGGGGCTGGCCGGCTTCAGCCCTTCCTGGGCAGGGCGGCCCCACAGCGGTGGGTGGTCCCAGGGCCGACGAGCCTGATGGAGGACGCCCTGGGTCAGTTCCGTCTCGTGCCCCAGGTACCGAGGGGAAGGCGTGGTGACCGGGAGGCCGGAGACGGTGTGGGACTTCGTGAAGCCCCTGGCCGGGAGCCTCCGGGAGAAGTGGGATGAGAACGTGACCAGTTTTGAGATTATTCAGAGCATCACCGACGTAAGTCTTCCTGGACACTGTTAGCCCCAGACAGGAGCCTGGCCTCATCCCCGCTGGATGGTTTGTGACACCTTTTGGTGAGGGGGTGCCCCGCACACCCTGGTCCCCGACTAACAGACCGCCATGCCTGCAGCACTGGTGCCCAGCCCGGCCCGGGTCCAGTGGGGAACTGTCCCGAGAAGAGGACGCAGCCCCAGCAGAGCTCAGGACAGCTGCGTGGGCAGCAGGGCCCGGGCTCTTCCCCCTGATGGGCCGTGATCGTAGTTGAGAGTCTGGGCCAAAGGGTCAGGACTCTGCCAGCCTCAGGGCTCGGTCAGGTGGCAGCTTCTCGGTGACAGGTTCTCCATTGTGAAATGTGTGTCTCGGAGGCCAGCGCCGCTGGTTAGCACCTTCTGGCAACGTTCTGCGTCCCTGTCCCGCGGTCGCCGCGAGCCCCGTGCGGCCGGAGAGCACTGGACAGGGGCCGGCTCTGACGAAAGGAGTCGTCGGTGTGAATTTAAACAGCCGCCTGGAACCAGTGGGAACCGTGTTCCACGGAGCAGATCCAGATGGTTCTGTCCTGGGCCCCTCGGTCGGGTTCAGAACCCGCCTCACTGATTACAGAAGCTAAGAAAGAAAAAAAAAGTCAGTCCGAAAGTTCCTTGGGGAACTGTTGGCTGACCTGTCTGAGGAGCATGGTCTGCGTCCTGAGGTCTGTGGACCTGGCACCTGGGTGTTTCCGCCGCTGGTGGTGTGAAACCCGAGCAGTTGTCTGTGGGTCAGTCAGCGGGGCCCGGGTGTCCTGGGTGCGGACCACGTTTCACACGGCACGCCCGTCTGTCATCAGAGGGGTGTGTGTCAGGGTTCCCCGGGGAGGGGCACACATCGGGGGTGCAACAGGCGGCTGAAGTGCGGTCACGGTGGGCACCCCACCGCAGGTCTTTCGTGAGGGGGAGCCCCGGGTACCTGCTCATCTCCTTCACCCCGACACGGACCCTCAGACTCAGAACTAGAACGAGAACCTCACCATTTCTTGTCTGTGTGGTGGGCACTTGCTTTTCACGTATGCCAAGGGATACTTTTTTCCATTCCCAGTAGCCAAATATCTTTCTTTGCAAATAAATCTCCCTAACTTTTCAAAAGCACGCGCGTTGGAGACAGCGTTGGAGGTAGGATGGGCGTGCCCAGAGAGAGCGGAGGGTCGCAGCCAGTCCTCGGAGAGCCTGCCCAAAGCAGAAGCGTGGGTAGTGCCCTTCAACCCTAATCCAGTGCGATGACGAAACGGCCAGGGGAGGGTGTTCTTGGGGGTGAAGTGGCCGGTGTTTCTCAGCCTGCGGAGGCTTTGTGTTGACGTAGTGACGGGTGGGACCTGAGAGAAGGCTTAGGGATCGGGTCCCTTGACCCTGCCTACCTGCCCCGAGGTCACAGCGGTGGTCCGAGCAGAGTAGGTGCTGACAGCCTTGCCCCGGCTCCTGTGGGTCCTGCTGCCTGGTCCTGGAGCCCCCCAGTGGCCCTGGTGGCCCTCGGTGACCACGCTCTCCCTGAGCCTGCGGCTGCGGAGGGCCACCTGTGCGGACCTCCCCTCCGGAGCACGCCGCTCCTCCTTGGCCAGCGTGCCAGGGGGCTGGAGGGTGATATGCGGGGGCTCTCTCCCCGGTGGGAACCCTGAGGCAGGCTGCGCGGGACCCTCCTCCTGGGCAGCCGTGTCCCTGTTCCCTGCCTGGCGCGTGTGCTCACGCCGTGTCCACACCTGCTCGACGCTGACATGGAGTTGACATCTAAGTCCCCAGCGGGTCTCTGTTACCATGTAGCACACCTGGCATCACTCTCCGATGTAGCAAAATGTTACCGCCAGCGTCCCCTTCACGACGCGGCAACACACTTGCCTCGGTGGGGAACGTCACATCGTGTTCCCCCTGGAACGCACATTTCTGGATGTCACCCGGATCCACGCATTGTTGAAAACCATCAATCACCCTGCGTCACGAATGCGTGTGTGAACTGGGACTAAATATTTAGACTGTTGCCTGAGCCTCCGGGTGTCGGAAGCGTCTGGGTTGGGTGTGCTTGTGACTCGCGGAGAGAACATCACGGTCCCCTCGGCTTTGACAGACCATGTGTGTAACCAGAACCGCCACGCCCTCGGCTGCCATGAAGCTCATTTCCCCCCGAGACTTTGTGGACCTGGTGCTGGTGAAGACGCTCGAGGACGGCACCATCGTCTCCAACGGTGAGGGACAGGCGGGCGCCGCGGGCTTCGGGGGACGCTGGGCTCTTCCCGCTCCTCGCCCGCTCCCTGCCCCAAGGACGCCGACCGCCGGCCCGTCTCTGCGCCGTGTCGGGTGGGGCGTCTGCTGTGCGGTCAGAGGTGGCACAGCCTCATCATTTTTCTTGGAAGTCACGGATGGTCACAGCCCCTTTTCCTGCTGAGGCTCATGGCTGTGCCCACAACTGAGGGTCAGTGTGGCCTCACAGGACGTCAGGGCACAGCGATTCCCAGGGGCCACCGCTGCCTCATGGTGTGTTGTCCCCTCCTGAAGCCACAGGCCTGCTCTGCCCCCGTCCCCCCCCACACACCCCACGCCCTGCTGGCTGAGATCTGGGAGGGCACCCCCTCCTCCTGTCCCCAAGCGGCACTTTCTGAAGTGTTCTTGTCTCCGCCCTTCTTGCCGGGTTAAGGGACAGTGAGTGGGGGCAGCCGGGCTCCTTGCCAGGCGGCGGGCGGGTGCAGCCCCGTGGGTGCCGAGGGCGTCAGCGGCCACCGTCTGCCGTTGCGGCTCAGCAGCCCTTTGGTGTCTTCCAGCGGCCAACGTGGAGCACCCGCTGTGCCCCCCAAAGCCCGGCTACGTGCGAGGACGGAACCACCCTTGCGGCTGCTTCTGCGAACCTGTGCCAGGGTGAGGAGAGCCCCCGGGCCGGGGCACGGGCCAGGTGGGCACAGTGGTTGGGCCCTGGGCACGCGGGGGGGAGTGGATGGGGGAGTCCTTCCCGCAGCCCCAGGCAGCTGGCAGAGGTGGTCCCCGCAGCAGATGAGGAAGTGGAGGCTTTGGGAGGAGGGGGTTTGTGCGGTTCCGGGGGTGTGGGCCCTGTAAGAACTTGGCACGGAGAAGGCCCTGCAGGGTTCAGTGCCGGGAATCGAACCCGCGACCCTTGGGTCCGCAGGCTGACGCTCTAACCGCTGGGCCACACCGGCCAGGGCATCTTAAAGGTTCTGAGTGCAGGTCTTTTACCCGTCGGGTTAAATGTGTTCGCAAGTGTTTTATTCTTTTTGATGCAGTTGTACATGTGCTTTGTTTTCCTGTTCTTTCTGACAAGCAGTGTGGGAAAACATGACACTCAGGTGTTTCCCAGGGCGTTAGAGGGTCTCTGTCCGTCACTGTTTACTGTGTTTAAAAGTTGAAAATGGGAAATGTTGGCAGTATTTAAAAAATAACACACTTATTACATATTAACAGATATTTTATGGAAAATAACTGCTGTTCTAGGCAAAGAAACAGTGAGAGGCTTTGTTTCTCATCCGCCAGTGCCCTTAACTCAGGCTTAGAGCAACTCTTCCGGCGCCGGCTCTGTGGCTCTGTGGCCCTGTGGCCCCGTGGCCCCGCCCGCCACGGCACTCCCCGGGAAGGGGTGGGCAAGGCGAGGTGCCTCCTAGTGCCGTGATGAAATTGTTCTGACCTTGAAAGGGTGTCAGGAACCCCCAGCACCCCAGCACCTCGTTCCTCCCAGGCCCCCCGCAGACAGAGCGTGTTCTCTGAATCCGTGCGAGGAATTGACGACCCTCGTGGGCTGGAGCTGGGGCTGCTCCTGCTGGCCCGGCGCAGCTGTGGAAATCCGCCCCCAGGGCACGGTCTGCACCCTGCGCACAGCAGGTCCCGGGAGACCCCTGGGCAGGGGCACCGCTGTCCCCGTCTCTCCTGGGCTGGCCGCTCCTGCCTACCCCACCCCAGCCCGGTGCCTCTGCCGACCCAGCTCTGCGGTTGCCTCACAGGGAGCCCAACAGGACCAGGCTGGTCACCTTCTTCCAGACGGACCTGAGCGGCTTCCTGCCGCAGAGCGTGGTGGACGCCTTCTTCCCGCGCAGCATGGCCGGGTTCTACGCCAACCTCCAGCGGGCAGTGAGGTCAGTGCGCTCGCCCCGCCCCGCCCCCCGCGGTGCCCCCGGCCGTGCCCCCGGCAGCCACGCAGCTCTGCCGTGTCGTGGGTGGTAACTGTATTTTCCAAAAGCAGCCTCAGTGAGACCTCCCCTCCCCTTCCACCCGGGCAGGCTGGTGCCAGCTGTGACCGAGGGCGCCGAGGCTGCAGTGCCCTTGCAGTGACAAGGCCCACGGGGACACAGCCGTGGCACCCAGGACCAGGGAGCCAGGGAGCGGCCCTGCACGCCCACCAGCCTGCGAGGGCTCCGGCCCTGCCCGCCGCAGGTCCCTGGGCGAGCGTGTGGCTGTCTGGGGAGGGCGTCACACCCCTTCCTGACGCTCGGGGGTCTCCAGAGCAGGACCAGACGTCGTCAGACGGCGACACGCCCTCCACTTTATTCACAGAGCCCTGTACACAGTTCGTGGTCCGTGGCAGCCACCCCACTGAGCCTCTGCCCGCCCGGTGGGACAGCCCTCCGGCTGGGGGCCCCCCGGGTGGGGCTGGCAGGGACCCTGAGAGAGCGGGTGCGGTGGGCCCTGGCGTCCGGCTGTGCCTAAGGGTTTGCGGCGGCCGGGGCCCCCTGCGGGCTCTTCCTCCTGAGGAGGACGGGGACCGGCCCGTCGGGCAGCGCCTTGATGACGTTCCAGGCTTCGAAGCGGGTGAGGCCCTGCACGGCCGTGCCGGCCACCTGCACGACCTCGTCCCCTGGCCGCACGGTCTCCGTCTGTCCTGAGGCCGCCCCTGGGATGGGGAGGAGGAGGCGGGGGTCAGGTGACGGGAACGAGGGAAGCACCCCCTCCGCCACGGGGAGGAAGGAAGAGCCGCACGCGGCGCACCTGTGAAGATCCGGTTGACGGTGAGCGGCCGGTCCCCGTGCAGGGAGCCCCTGCCGCCTTCCAGACTGAAGCCCAGCCCCGCGGAGGTCTTCTCCAGCGTCAGCGCCAGCGTGCGGACCGCGGCCTCTGCTGCGGGGACCGGGGTTGGTTGGGGTGCTCTCCTCTCGGGCCACGCCGCCCCCGTACGTGTCTCCGGCAGCCCACGAGGCCCGGCCCTCCCACCGGCCGAGCTGACAACTCACCCGGCTCTGCCGAGGCGGCACTGGCCACGGAGGCCGAGGCGTCCGCGGAGGGGTCCAGGTCGGGCGTGGCCTCCAGCGCCGGCCGCCTGGAGACCACGACAGCCTGCCTGGGGTCGCGGGCCTGGCGCAGGATGGCCAGCGCGTCGCTGTGGGTGGCCCCCTTGAGGGACTTGCCGTTGATGGACAGAACCTCATTGCCCTTCTGGATGGTCCCTTCCTGCGAGGCCAGCCCGTCGGGGAACACCCTGTGCACCTGCGGAAGCCACAGGAAGTCGGCTCGGAGTCGCCTGCGTCGGGTCTGAGCCCGTTAGTCCCACGGAGGGTCCTCAGGCCGAAGACAACGGAACTGCCCTGAACCCGGGCCAGCACGTCCTCGTCCCTCAGAGCGGAGATCACGGACAGCGATGGACAGGGGCCCCGACCCTCCCCAGACAAGCCTCACCCCTGTCCACCTGAACGTCCGCGCTCGAGTGGGCAGGCCCAGGGAGCAGCCGCCTCCCCGGGTCCGCCGTCCCGGCACGGCCTGTGGGCGCCGGTCACCCTGTCCCCAAACCCGTGCCCACAGCTTACGACGCTCTGACTTGGCGACTCGAGAGCAAGGCCGAGCCCCCTGGGTCTTTCTTCAGGCCCCACTCGGACGCCAGTGACGGGCTCTAGCGTCGGGGGACCGTCCCTGAGCCACGCGGCGTGACGAGGGTTGAACGTGGGGTCACGTGACTGCTGCTGGCCCCGCTCCTTGAGGACGGTCCCGCCCTGAGCGCCCGCCGGCGGCCCCTCGTCCCCAGCACTGAGCCGGCCACTCACCGTGACCACCTTGTTCTCCAGGTCCGCGCCCCCCGCCAGGCTGAAGCCAAGGCCAGCCCCCTCCTCCTTGTGCAGGATGGTGACATGGATGTTGTCCAGCTGCTGCAGGAGGAAATAAAACAGTGAAAATGTTCCGTGTGGCAGCGTGCACGGTTTGACCGCTCGGCCGTCCCCTCCTCGGACCAGTGTGGCCGTCCGGGAAGGGAGGACGATGCTCTCTGGAGTTGGGAGCTCAGAGGAAAACGCAGTGTGTGCAGCCCCAAGGCTAGGTCTCTGCCTCGTGTGCACCCCACCCCCACGCGTACGAACAGGAGTGGGTGCTGCCCCGTCCGCGGGGAGCCCTAGGGTGCAGGACCACAGCTCTGCCGTCTCGGGGTGAAGCGTGGGCTCCGAGACCCAGGGCTGCTGTGAGGAAGCTGCTGTCCCTCCCCCTGCTCCCCGAGGGCACAGCACCCAGGAGCCCAGCCAAGCTCCTGCCCAGAGCACACGTGTGTGCACCTGCTCTGACACATGCCCACGGCCCACCCCCGGAGCCAGGACAGTCCTCTGCGGTGAGTCAGAGAATCTGGCTGTTCTCATCCAGGGCCTCGCATGCTCCTGGGCCATGCACGTGGGCAGAGGGGCACAGGCTGGGGGAGCACGTGGGCAGAGGTGGCACAGGCTGGGGGAGCACGTGGGCAGAGGGGCACAGGAGGGGAGCTGGGGCCCGGGGAGCACACCACCTCGACACGACCAGTAGGAAGGCGGACCCAGTGCTATCAGGTTCCCGTTCAGAGGCCAGAAACCCAGGTTTGGTCTCGGCTCAGTAGTGTTCAGAGTAAGTGTCTTCGGGGATCACCGTATGGACCAGATGAAACGGACGGACAGGTCCGTGTGGCTCCCGGCCACCAGTGTGCGCCCTGGTGCTGGGGGGCACCTCACCTCCCAGATGCAGCTGCTCTGACCTGGGGTCCCCAGGGCCCAGCCTTTGCCCGGGGCAGCCGGCGCGCCTGGTGTGAGGCCCGGCACCCTGCAGGGGCCCTCGGTCCACAGGGCACTTGGCCTCTGTCACTTCGGTTGAGCGTCTTGGGCCTGGGACGCGGAGCTGTCTCCACGCAGGGCACCCTGTGGGCCGGGCTCACCCTGCTCGGAGCCCAGCGACCCGGAGCCCAGCCGCCGGCCACTTCCTCTCACGCTCTGAGCCGCGCTCAGGAAGTGGGGGACGTGGGACTTTCAGAATGAGAGTGTGCCGCCCTGGGAACCGGCAGCGCTCGGGGTGCAGGGGGGTCCCCGGGTGAGTGCTCACAAAGCAGCGTCTCAGGACGCGCACAGGAACAGGAAGTCGGGTGCCTGGAGGGAACCTGGCCCCGCGACCTTGGTCTCGTTGACAAGGGCAGAGAGGGAGGCAGCCAGGGATTGGAAGCGTTTCATAAGCTACGAAGCCCCTTCCCCGTGGCAGGTCTCCCTGTGGTCTCGTGACACTGTCCCCACCACGGGCAGGTGTCCCCCCGAGACACCTCCAGGAGCTTGGGGCTCGTGGGGCTGCCTCCCCTGGGCCCCGCGAGGGCGGCCACGCGTCTCTGTGTCTACGAAAGGCCCACCTTCAGCGTCGCTTCGTCCAGAACCTTCACCTCCTCGATGAGGTTCTTCAGCTCCTCAGCGCTCAGCAGGGAGATGACCGACTGGCCGGACGCGGGGCCGCAGTCCCCGGCCCCTGTGGGCTCGCTGAGCCCCTCCGTGTATTCTCTCAGCTCCGAGAGGCTGTGGGGAGGAAGGGCAGGTGAGCCGTGTGCTCCCAGAGTGGTGTCCCGGGCGCTCAGCTGGGCCCTCTGCACCCTGGGCCTGTGGCCCTGAACCTCTGGCCGCCCCGCCCCGCCCCCAGCGGTGAGGAAGTGGGGTTCAGGGAGGTGGAGAGCTGGGTCTGCCAGGCGGCTCCCCGCCCAGCAGCTCACCCAGACCCTGGGCAGCTCTGGACCGGGCGGTGGTCCAGGCTGATGGCCGCCTGCCCCCCGCTCGCTGCAGAGGGCGCCCACCCCGCCGGCCGCCCACCCGCCTTTTCCTGTTGAGCTCACGTTGGCGTCGAGCCATTTCATAGCTTCACGTTTTGTGAGACACTGGTTTTGGTAATAGGGCTCACTCCCCTTGATGGACGGGGGCCCCCACGCCTCCGAGGGGCAGCTGCTCGGCCTGAAGGTTCTAGGCCCAGCCTTCCGACCCTTCTGGGTCCCCAGGTCCGCCCTGGGCCCTCAGCTGCCTGTGCAGGCCTAGCCCGCGGCAGCAGAGGGGAGGAGGCAGAGCTGAGGAGGCAGAGCAGCCGCGGAAGGGGGAGAGGGAGCCCCAGGCTGCGGCAGGAGCCCCAGGCCACTTCCCCTGTGAACTGGGGGTGGGGCGTGCAGAGGGGAGGGGTCCACAGTGAGAGGGACCCTGTCCCCAGGGACAGCAGGAGGGAGCAGCCCAGGGAAAGGCCGACCCTTACTTGAGCGAGAACCCTGTGTCCGCACCGGCAGGCGGGTCTCGGCTGGGCCAGGGCGCGGCAGGCGCCCCGTCCTTGGGGCTGCAGGGGCTCTGGCCTCCGGACAGGGACGAGGGCAGGCACAGCAGGGACCTCATGACCGCGGAGGACACTTGGCTGCTGATGGCGTGCAGCCTGCCGGCCCTGTCGTCCCCGGGCTGCGCCTCGCACGACTGTGTCCTGGTCAGCGGGAAGCTGCGGGCCCGCTGGCTGGGCGTCTTGACCCCCGCGCCCGCCGAGTCCACGGTGTGCGTGGTCAGCAGCCTCAGCAAGGGGTCAGCGGTGAGGGCTCGCTCTCTGGGCAGCCGCCCCAGGGGAGGGGTGTCTGACACACCCGGGTCCTGAGTCTCCGCGGCTGGAGGGGAGCCAGGGCACGGCTGCTCCGTGGTGGGGGGAGCCCCTCTTGAGAGGCCAGGACCCCCTCCTCCTCCTTTCCCAGGAGGCCTCTCGGCCTCGGCGCTGGGGGCCGGGGGGCTCAGTCTCCGGGCCCCCCTGTCAGGTAACTGAGAGGAGCCGAACGTCTCGAAGCTGCTGATTCTCTGCCTGATGGAGCTGGAGGCCCGCGTGTGGGGCCCCTGGTGCTCCCGGGGGGCCGGCGTGGGCTTCGGGGGGGCGGCTGCGGGCGGTGGCCTGGGCTCTGGACCGCGGTGCCGCAGCCCCTTCAGGCTCTGGCGAAACCAGGCTGGCTTGGGGGCCACGGGAGGCCCCTTCTTCACGACGCCGCCGTCCGCCGGCTTGTACGCCCGGGGGGCACCGTTCACGCCGTCCAGCTCGGGGGGCGTCCCGGCGGAGGGGGTCTGCGTCCCGTCTTCGCTGAGGCCGATGGCGGGCTGCAGCGGCGCGTGGCCATGGCTGTCACTCATGATGGGGCTGAACAGGCTCTTGATGCAGTCGGAGATCCTCACCCAGGGGTCCTCGGCCGCGCCGTCCGGGCCGCCGTCCACCCGCGCCTGCCGCTTCAGCACCGGGTGTTTCGGGGGCGTTGCTGGGGAGCGGAAACGGGACGAGGGCTGGCGGTGCTGGTGGGGCGTGTCCTCCGAGCTCTGCTCACAAAGCTGGGGGGCTGGGGGGCAGTGGGGAACCCTGAGGTACGTGCCCTTGACCAGAATCCAACCCGCGACTCTGGTCTGCAGGCCAACGTGCTAACCGCCGAGCCAGACCGAAACCACGACCTTGCTCGTTGGGAGACGCTGGGCCTCTGACCCCGCCAGCAGGATGGGCCCCCTTGTCCCCCAGGCGGGGGGTGCGGGCACCATCCACACTGGTCTGCCTTCCAGACCTGACTGCCCCGCACCGTGGCCGCCAGGTGCCCGTGTCCTCCTCCTCGGGCTCCATTCTCCTGACCTACGCTGTCCTGCCTTTCTCCCCTCAGCACCAAGCATCCCCGTGCAGACAGAGGGTCCCCACCCTGGGCGGCACCCACGGTCCTGCTGCCTTCACGAGGGGTTCCGCCGCCACGGGATGCAGGACACGGACGCTCGGGTGGGTCGCGCGTCTTACCTTCTCCCTGCCCTTCCTTCGGGAAGAGCTGCGCCGTCCCGCCCGGGCTGCCCGGCTCCTCTGCGGGGGGCGCCGTCTGCAGGCCGGTGGCACCGGGGGCCCTCGCCGCCGCGACTTCCTGCGGTGGCAGCAGCTCTCCGGCTTCCTGTGGTGTCAACAGGAAGTGAGCCTGTGTGGACACGGCAGCCTCCAGCTGCGAGAACAGAAGGCAGGGGCTTGGGCTGGGGGCGGCGTGGGGCTCCGTGAGGAGGTGCCCAGCGCCCCACAGGGCCCTTCCTGCCGCCAGGGTCGCCCCGTCGTAGGTGTGGTCACTGGGAACAAGGGCTTTGGTTCTCTGGGGGTGTTTGGGTTTTGTTGTGTAGAAACTGAAGGTGTTTTGTTAACAGCAAGAGGTGCCGTGTTTTCGTACAAGAGAGCGCACAGCACGTGGGAACAAACGTCTCAGACGGGGCAGCTGGTCAGGGACGCCTGGACCAGCCAGGCCACTTGGACGTACACACAACCACACAGACGGTGCAGGGGTGTGAGCAGAGCGGTGGGGGCACACCGTCGGGAAGGGCGGACACGGCCGCGTGCACACACGTGCGTCTGACCGCGAGCGCACAGGTTTGGTCTTGGGGGAGGGGGAGGGGCAGTGTGGGTCCCCGATTCGGTTAGGCTCTGTGTTCTTTCCTGACCGCTAAATCCTCCCTGAGCCTATGGTTTCGCAAGAAATCCTGTGTGCGAAGTAACGAACTTGAAATGCAGAACAGGGCCCACGTCCAAGCCCCGCCCTGACGCACTGTGTCCGCGCTCAGTGTCCCTGCGACGGGCGTTCCCGCCTGGGGTTTGCTGAAGGTGTCGGCCTAGGGGGACAGGTCTCCGCACGTTTAACCTGTTGCTGTAGGGCTCAGGGGGGCAGTTTCACAGTCGTCGTCTGGGGTTCGGGCTGAGCATGGTGGGGCGTCTCATCCCGCTCTGGGTCCTAGCTGGCGTGTGGTCAGGGTCTGAAGTTATTTTCGTGGGTTTTGTTGTGGATCTAGCTTTTCACTTCGTTTGGGTTCATCCCGTGGCTGCGGTTCTGGCGGGACATCCTGTCTGGGCCAACAGGAAGCACCCGGCGTCCCGGGTGCGGCCGCCGCCGTGAGGGCCGCAGGTGCGCGACGTTTCTGGGGTTGTGACGTTTCTGGGGTTGTGACGAGTAGGTATCGGATTTGATCGCCGGAGTGGGAGCGGGCACGGGTGTCCGTGCTGGGCTCCCAGGACCACCCGCTTCGAATGGGCCGAGTGTCCCGGTGCCGTCGGGACACTCGGGCCGTCGGGACACGAGGGTGTGGCTCCTGAAAACGCAGGCGTGGAGAAATGCCCGTGACGGCTGGTCACGGCCCGTGGTTACCGACGTGAGACCTGGTGGGCTGGCGGAAGGACAGGTCACTGTGTTTACTATTGTTCTGGGGTGTGTGCTGTGTACACAGGTTGCTCGGTGTACGGGGCTGAAACCAGTAGGCAGGTGTCTGCTGTGCCTGAGTGGCGTGGGCTCAGACAGGTGTGGGGCGCTGGCCCTGAAGGTGGTCACGGCGGGGGAGCCCCAGGGGCAGGGCTTCTGGTTGGAGCCGGGTGGCGTCAAGGCTGCGTGGAGGGGCCTGTGGGAGAGCTCACGGGCCTCGGGGTGTTTGGCCAGCTCCTCGCCGGACGGGGGGTGTGACTCCTACTTCCGCTCGCCGGATGATGGTGGGAAGAACGGTCGGGGTGACCGAGAGTGTAGCTGGGCTGAGAAGCGAGCAGGTGTGTAAACACTTGAATACTAGGATCTGAGTGTGCGACAAACAGTGATCTGGCTAAGGCAGCAGTTAGGGCGCCGGCCCGCGGACCTAGGAGCCCGGGTTGATTCTGGTCGAGGGCATGTGCCTCCGCTGGGGTTCGGGCCCGTGCGGGAGGCCAACAGACCAGCCGATGGGTCTCTCTCCCTCCCATCCACCTGAAATGGGTGGAGGAATGTCCTGGAGTGAGGATTTAAAAATAAACGTGCACATACTTGTGATTCACTCACGTCCTCGTTCAATTTGCCGCCTGAGGGCAGAGAGGTCGTGGCGGGCTGGCCGCCTGGCGGTGTTCAGACTTCGACCGGCCGCGCTGTACCGTCCACAGGGGACTGTCCTTGGCCCGCGCGGGGAGTTCGTTGGGGTCAGGCTGCTGACCAGGCGGTGGCCAGTGCAGTTTCACAGTGTGGCCGCGGCTCCCGTTTGTAGGTTGTGGAGGTGCCGGCTTGGACGGTCAGGGTTCGTGTGAGCAAATCAATGATCGAGGAGACACATTTCTTCTATTTCTAGTTTCAGAAATGGAGGTTCTGGAGACCAACGGGTAGCTCCTGTCCTTTCAAGGTTTGAAAAGTCACCTTGTCATATATGGCGTGAGTCAGTGAATAAGAATTTGTAGTCTGGACACCAGACGGACCAGCGAACGCTTTCCCTGGGCAGTGCCGACGCGGCAGGGCCCCGGAGGGCGGGGGGCGTCCGGGATGGGGGCGGCGCTTGCACTACTGGGTTTCGGCTGCGCCTCGGCCCTGTCGTTGGCGAGAAGCCCGGGTTGTTGTGAGGCCGGTTCGGTGTGGGGGAGCGGAGGGAGCTCCTTCCCAAACTAGGTTGTGGCGATTCCCGGTGGTGACCACGGGCAGGTTGAGAGCGAGTTCGTAGGCAGGACCGCGTGTCGGTTGGAGCCCCCTCATTTGGTCGGGGTGCTTGGGGTCGGTTATCCCGTAGAAATGTAACGGGTACGAGGGAGTTGTTCAGGGGGGAAGGGTGCATGCCATGGGGTCTGAATACTGCGACGAGGAGGCGGATACTTTCTGTTGACCACACAGGTTCCCACACGCTGAGCCCAAGCAATGTCTCGTGTGTCCTTGTCATCATTTGGGGTTAATTATTTTGCAGGATTACTCTGGAAATCAGTGGTTAGAGGTCAGCAGGGCAGGCTGACATCGGCCAGCAGGTGGGCAAACTCCAGGAGCCAGAGGCTGCCAGGAGGGGCGTCTCTCTGTAGAGATTGGGGGAGAAGGCAGACGCGCTGGGGTCCCAGGACAGGTGTTTGTGTTGCTGCCGGGCTGAGTCTCCAGGCACCGAGCACACCGGCCGACCTGGGTGTCCCTCAGCAGCAGGCCCTGAGGAAGGGGAGCCGCCTGACTCCCCGCGACACACACCCCACTCACCAGGTCGGGGCCGCTGTCCACGCTCCCCTGCGGGTCGCTGTCGCTCTTGAAGTACTTCCTGGGGGGGGGCTTGGGCTTGGACGACGTAGGCTTCCTCACGAAGATCTCAAAAGACTTCTTCAGTCTCAGGGGCGGGTGCTCCTGGCTGTCCTGGGGGGGCTGCTCGGGGCCGCCGTCGCTGCTGGAGCGCATCATGGTCCTCGGAGGTCTGCGCTGCGGGGCCGCCGCCCGCTGCTGCTGCTCCTGCTCCTGCTCCGCGGTCGGCCGCCCGTGCCAGCTGCCCTCCAGCCTCTTGACACCTGCAGGGGAGCCCCGAGGTGCTGAGCTCCGGGGGCCCTCATTCCCCTTTCCGCCCAGGTGGTGGGTACGGGTACCCTCCCAGCCTGGCCCCCGGGGGGGACCGGGTGTCCTAGCTGTCAGAGCCCCCAGAAGCCGTGAGCGCTCAGCAGACAGCTGTAATGTGAGCCCGTCAACTGCTGGTTCGCAGACGTGTCCACGGTGACCGTCCCCGTGTACCCTGGGGTGCAGGGGGGGCTCGTTTACGAAGCCAGCTCACCGGTCCCTTACCTTCCAGACTCCACGGCTGCCGCTCCTTCCCAAACCTCAGCGTCTCCGCAGCCTGGGCCACAGCGTCTTTGAGCTGCTGCTCGGACACCTGGAAAACAGCGGTCACCTCCAGTAGCCCTCAGGTGCGCTGTCCCCGTCCCCGGCAGGGCGCGGAGACCCTTTCTGCTGCTGTGCACCTGCGCGGGAAGCAGGGTCTTCCTCTGTGCCACCCTCCCTGCTCCACAACCAGGCACCGGCGTGTGCTAGTTCAGGCTTCTGAGCCTCAGTCCCTCACCTGAGCGGGAAGGGGATGTCACAGCGACTTCATTATGGGGGGTGCGCACTAAATACTCCACGCATTGGGAGGGTTCCCCAAAGTGATCTCCTCTGTGCCAGGCTTTAGCTCCCAAGTCCAGCCCGGATCACACACTCATCCACTGGACGACCCACACTGAGATCCCCCTGTTCCGTTGCTCAGTCGTCTTACAACCCAAGAACACTCCTCTCCCCACACATGTCCCACCCGTAGACACGGACAGGCCTCCCTGAACCCCACCTTCAGTACTGTCCCCCAGGAACGCTGCCCAGAGCCCTCAAGCAGGGGTCCTTCCGTAAGGACGATCCGGGGGACTGACCAAACTTCCAGGACTCTGCAGCCAGACCCCCGCATTCGAATAAACACGTTTGCTCCCCGTCTGTGTGTGGAGATGCCGCCCTGAGCCCCGGTCTCCTGTGTGGCTGACGGATCAACTCTGTTTCTGTATAAAACCTGCTGCCTTACTTCGCTGGGGAAGTTCACCCAACATTCAGAGAAGAACCAACAACTGTCCTCCTCAAACAACTCCAGAAACTTCAAGAGGCAGGCAGGCGCCCAAGCTCGTTTCATGAGGCCGGCATCCTACTTCCAAAACGAGGTAAAGACACGACAAAGGAAGAAAGCTGTAGGCCACCATCCCTGATGAGCGCAGATGCCAACATCCTCAACAAAGTATCAGCAAACTAGGTCCAGCAGTTCATTAAAAGGATCACACACCCCATACACAAAATGAAGGGCAAAAGCCACGTGATCACAGCAACAGCTGGGGAAAAGGCATTTGACAAAATCCGGCACCTCTTTCTAAAGACTCTCAGCAAAGTGGGAATACGGGGACCATCCCTCACTACAGCCAACGTCATACTCAGTGGGACACACACTACCCAAGTAGCTATGGCTTCAACGCCATTCCTAGCAAGGTACCAACGACATTCTTCGTGGAACTAGAATATGCCCAAGACCCCGACTAGCCACAGCCTGGCTCCTCTGTGCAGGACGGGCCCCCCGACCCCATCACTGTGCACGGAAGGGCCCGCTCACTGCCTGGGGAACACTGGCTTCTGTTTCCATGGCGATCACCGCGCCGTGTCAGGCTCTCTGGGGAGACTATGAGTCAGGTCACGGCCTGTGTGTACTCGGAACTGACCTCCACGTGCTCGGTGCCACTCTGGGCTGGAGGGGCCATTTGTCCCCCGCTGCAGACCTTTGTTACGACATAGCCTTGGGACACACGCTAAGAAATGAGGCTGAAACAGCCCTTTCTTGCTCCTGTTTCAGCACTAGCAGAGTGAGCCTCGGACAGACAGGCTGCCCCAGCAGGTCCTACCTGTGGGTCTGGGTGTCGGCTGACGATGATGGGGACGGGGCCCGGGTCGCAGTGGCTCAGGACTGCGTAGACGTCGTTGAGCGACATGCAGTGCACGGGGGCGTCGTTGATCTCCACAATCTCGTCGCCACACCTGCGGAAGCACAGACAGGAGGCCGTGGGCAAGTGCGTCCAGGTGGTGCCGGACGTCGGGGGGAGGGGCACTCCTGCCGGGCTGTTTGCTGAGACCTGAAAACCATGTTATTAAAAGATGTCACGTGGCAACGTGGCGGAAACTTGTCTGTGGGCCTCGTGTTCCCGGGCGGACGAGGGTTAGAAGGGGTGGGGAGCAGCTGAGGTTCCTGCAGAACACCCTAAGGAGAGAAGGCGATGGATGGCTTCGTTCTTATCATAAAGCGAGAACCGAGTTACTGGCACCTGAACGGGGAAAAAACGAGGCACAAAAGGTATGCTAGCATCAATGCGTGGGGGTTTGTACTCCAGCCTCCTGTTTCGCAGAGGGGACACGATCTCCTCAATACCTTGCCATAGCAACCCCACTTCTGGGAATAGATCTTAAGCAGCCTGAAACACCCATCAGAAAGAATAACGCACTCCTGTGTGCAAGAGCGAAGATTTGGAAACAGCTCAGGTGTGCATCAGTAGACAAGCGGATAAAACACACTGTGGTACATGTACACCGTGGAATATTATGCAGCCATAAAAAAGAATAAAATCTTACCTTTGTGACAGCATGGGTGGACCTGGGGAGTATTATGCTAAGTGAAATAAGCCAGTCAGAGAAAGACAAGTACCAAATCTAATGAATAGAAACAGACTCATGGATGCAGAGAACAGACTGGTAGCTGAAAGGTGGGGTGTAAAAGGTGAAGGGACTGAGCACAGAAACTCCTGGACAACAGTATGGCGAATAGCAGAGGGGGAGGAGTGAGGGAGAAGTGATGATGGAAGGAGACTTGATTTGGGGTGAAGACACAATGCAATATACAAATGACGTTACAGAATTGTACACTTGAAACCTATATCATCTTATTAACCAATGTCACCCCAATAAATCGAATAAAAATTTTTATGAAAGGTATGCCTGAAAATATTTTTCCTTCCGGCAAGAAATTCAGGGAACACAACCGGTTTGCTCAGTAAGCTTCCTTCTGTAAACCAGTATGCAGGTGAACCTCAGGAACACGCCGACCTCTGTCCCTGTCCGCGCTGCGCTCCAGGTCTGAGCCGGGGTGGTTCCTCACCCCCACCCCCGGCCCCTCACTGCAGGTCTGGGAGGGGCCCGGGGCGCTGCGTTCCTAACGGACTGCCCGTGGTCCCCACGCTGCTGGGTCATTCCGAGTATCTGGCCTCCAGAAGAATCCGACAGCCCGAGGACCCCCTCCTGTCGTCGGGCGGGTCTTCCCCAAAGCAGAAAGAGGGACGTACCGGAGTCTCCCGTCCAGATGCGCCACCGAGCCTGGGGACAGCGTGTGCACGAAGATGCCGGAGACGCACTGGGAGTGGGGGACGCTGCACAGCCCGATGCCCAGACCCACGCCGGCCTCTGGGGGAGAACGGGGGCTGACGGGCTTGCCCAAGGCTGGCTGGCCTCCGGGTGCCCACGGTCACGGTCAGACGCCGTCCCCCGCTCACGATGGCCCTGATCCCGTGTTTTCGGGACATCCCCTGTGGGTGGGTGCTGCCCGGGGGTCAGCGGCAGGGACCTGGGTGGTGAGGTCGCCCCGTGCAAGTGGAGAAGGACGGGAGGAGGCGGCGGCAGAGACAGGGTCACACCGAGGATTAGCGGGGAACAGGGTAGAGAGGACAGGGCGTCACTTCAGGCCTCAGGGGGGGCAACACCGCCAGGGACGTGGCCCAAAGCGGGGAAGCCGCCTGCCTTGTTGCTGGCCCGCAGCTGGTCAGAGGGACCGTGGTGGGGGCACCTCAGTGGGGCCCTGTGAACGAGGGGTAGGGACGTGGGGGTGGAGAAGGGGGACCAGGTAAGAGCCACACAGTGGGGGCTTAGACTTTCAAGCATGTTAAGTTCAAGTAGAGAGGGGGGTGGCTTTCCGTGCGGTCCCTCTGCGCTTGCTTTTCTGTGTCGGCCCTGGAGCCCGGACACGGACCCGTGTGGGCGTGTCCCCCGGGATCCCTCGGGACCCAGAGCTCTGGCCCTTCTGCTAAGTGGTGGCCCTGAGCTCTGCTCTGGACCAGGTACCAGTGGGGAACGTCTGGGGGACGGGGACACCCTACCTTTCTGCAGAGACACCTCCACCATGACTCTGTAGTTGGGCTTGGTGCCTGCAGGAGGCTCGGGGTTCTCCAGGAGGAAGGAGCGGCTGCCCTTGGCGACGACGCAGGTGCTGGAGCTCAGCGAGCGGCCCAGCGGGGGCGACAGCGGGGAGCTCAGGGGGTGGGGGGCCGTCAGGCGGGTCCTGACGGTGAGCGTGAGCAGCCCCCTCTTGGCTTGCTGTAAGAAAGGGGGTCTGCGTCCAGGGCTGACTCTGGGCGGGGCGCAGAACCGGGCCTCGGGATGTGGGGGCCTACGTGTGACATGCCTGCGTTCACGCGTCAGGCAGGCGTGTGGTGCGTGCAAGGGTGACAGTCTTGAACCAGAGGGAGACTCAAAAATACCTTCCCGTCACGGCCTGAAAAACCTGCAAGAGGGCTGTAACCTCGGTACACACACAGGATGTTCTTAAACATCCACGGCCTCACGGTGGCAGTGCCCCGATCGTCCTGATCCACCTTTTCTGGGCCGTCTTCCTCCAGCACTGCCCACCCGCGTCCCCGGGACCCCGTGAGGGCCCCACCACTTGAACGTGGAGGTGATGCTGGGGCTCCGATTGCCGGAGGCCCAGCCCGACAGCGGACGGTACCTTGAACCTCTGCAGGGCGCCCTGGTGAGTCAGCCCGGCCATGGACTCGCCGTTGAGCTCCAGGACCTCATCGCCTGTGGGACGGGACGCCGTGTGAGCGCGCGGCCCGTCGGGGCGAGCATCCTGACCTTGGGCTCGAGTCCCGCCAGAGGCACGGTGCTCGGGGAAATGGGTCGGACAGAAGGAGACAGACACCGTGTGGTCTCACACGTGGGCGCTAAAGAGACGGCATTGCGGGCAAGCAAAACGGAAACAAACTAACAGAGGACAGACTGCCAGATGGGAGGGGCCGGACCGCGGTGGACACGGGAGGGACTGAGCGCGAAATGCCGGCCTAGGAACAGGCGCAGGTGTGACAGCGGCGTCCGGTGGGCACCAGACTCACAGGGGGTCAGTTGGGGACCGTACAAACGCACAGCCACTGTGCTGCGCGTCACTGCGTTTCCGAGGACATGGAGAAGGCCCGTGACCTGCCTGCCGGCTGCCTCTCCCGCACCCGTCTCCCTGTGACACGTCCTCTTCCCGTCCGAGGCCAGGAGTCCCCGCGGCCTGCTGGACGCTGCCCCTGTCCTCCCAGCAGGCCCAGCCCCTGAACTGGTGACTGCCCGCCCCCTCCGCCCTAGGCTGTGCTTCCTGAGTCACCTGACCTCACCCCTCCCTCCCGCACAGGGAAACCCCCTTCCTGCCTGGAGCAGAGGCTCGGGGCTGCGGGTTCTGTGGGCCCCTGTGCCCCAAGCACCACAGACGAGGCGAATGAAGGACCACGTCCCCATAAAGCCCTCCCACGGAGACAAAAATCTGAATTTCATTTGATTGACACACGTCGCCCAAGAATCAAACATGCGTTGACCTTGTCTGACCATCTGGAAGGGTAGAAAGCCCTCCACGCTGAGCTGGATGACAACAGGCAGAATGGGCCCTGGAAGGTGGGCTGGGCCCGGCCCGGGATGGCGGAGGGCAGAGCCGTCTCCTGCGCCCCCTGCGTACGGTGGGGCCCTCAGGGCTGCCTGCCTGCCTGCCCCGGGGCGTCCTGGGGCCCAGCCTGTTGCCCAACAGCCCAAACATGGCTTTGGGGTGCAGCTGGGCTGGGTGGACACCGCTGCCCCTCAGCCCCACCCAGGGCAGGGCACTCAGGAGGCCCCTCGCTGAGGATGAGGTGGCGGCTGGGGGGAGAGGGGGCGGCGGGAGGACGGCAGCTGGCGGACCTCCCCTCCCCCGAGGGGTCTCGGCTAAAATCCCATGTCCCACAGCCTGGAGCAGGGATGTTTCGCTTATTGTTCTTTATCCTCACCCGAGGACATTTTTCCATTTTTTGTACAGATAGAGTGGGAGGGAGGGAGAGAGAGGAAGGGAGAGAGAGAGAGAAACATCGAGTGGCTGCCACCCGCACGACCAACCAGGGCCGGGGACAAACTGCAACCGAGGTACGTGCCCTTAGCGGGAACCGAACCCGGGTCTCTCTGGACCGCAGGCCGACGCTCTAACCGCTGAGCCAAACAGGCCAGGGCTGACTTTTTAATTGTTGAAAGTATTGCAGCTGTCCCTCCTCTCTCCCCATGGAGGGACACCTCCCCCTCCCCCTCGCCGCTCCCCCTCCCCCGCCCTGTTTGTATCCACCGTCCCTGGGCTGTGCACATACACGCACACAGCTCTTTGGTTTACTCCTCGCGGCCCCCCCCACCCTCTGAGGCTTGCCAGTCTGGTCCCTTCCATGTTACTGATTTTTTAGAGAGAGAAGAAGACGGAGAGAGATATATCGATGTGAGAAAGAAACTTCGACTGGTTGCCTCCCGCACCCCCCAACTGGGGACCAAGCCCACAGCCTAGGTCCGTGCCCCGACGGAGACTCGAACCTGCAACCTTCGGTACTCGGGATGACGCGCCAACAAACTGAGCCACCGGCCAGGCTCACGGGGAGTTTCCCGAGCTCACTGGACACAGGGCCTGGTTCCCCCGAGGCAGGGGAGCAACCAGGGAGGCGCCTCGGCAGGTGCAGGGAGACAGACAGCCGGACAGACTGGCAGACGTTTACCAGACACACGAGGTCACCCCCCCGGGAGAGAACATCCAGACCCAGAAAAGCAGCAAAGCCAGGTGGGCGAAGCCAGGACGAGCTGCCGTGACCAGTGACCGCTGCCCTGACACTGACCAGCCAGGAAACCGCGCCCTGAAAAGGCGCCTCTGGGAAGCTCCACATTGTGCTGAAATCCTCCCGAGACCTCCCCTAAAACTCCCGCCTGCAAGAGAAATAAAGTGCTGGGTCGGAGGACCCGGTGTGCGCCCTCCGGGGAGCAGCCCCTGCCATCCCCGTCCCCTCTTCCCCACAGGCAGGCACCTCCTAACCTGAGGGCCCCAGGACACCTGCAACCAGGGGAGCGCTGGGCAGCGGCAGCTCGTTCCAGGCTACCCCCGAACCTGTCCCCAAGCCCTGCTGACTCCCCGGAGGGCTGGCAGCCCAGCCTCGCCTCCTGTCGCTCTGCTAAGCCCTTCCTTGTTGACGGGCCCGGCTCCGACCAACGTCCCCTCACAGTCACCTGGACTCCAGCCCCAAGTCCAGAACCCACACAGACCGCTCAGGGCCGGGTCCCTGCCCCGTGACCTTCTGGGGGGTGACAGGGACAGCAGGGGCGTGAAGGAAGGGCATCGGGGTGCAGGAGCCCAGAGGGGACTTGACAAGAAGGGGCAGGGGACATGGGAGCTGCTCCGCCTTCTGACGGGCTGGCGGCGGACCGAGTGCAGACGCACGGCCACCAGACGCTGCACTCGGCAGGTCCTCGGGGGTCAGGCCAGGCCACCCTCCCGGCGCCTTCTGCCGCCGGCGAGTCGGGGCTGGACACGTACCTTCCTGTAGCCGGCCGTCGGCGGCCGCGGCGCCCCCCGCGAAGATGGTTTTGACGTAGATCCCGATGGGGCCGTAGATGCTGTCCTGCCCCCCGACGATGCTGAAGCCCAGGCCCTGGGGACACGAGGAGCCGTCAGAGTCCCCGGTGTCCGTTCCTGGGGCCACGTTTCTGAGGGCCGGCCCGGCCCTGAACGAAGACCGGGGAGCGGCGGGGGCTGTCGACTCTCGGGTCCCCAGACTCAGTGGGAAGAGCTGTGGCTGAGCCCAGACAGGGCCCTTGGGTCTGATGTCCCCACACAGGCCCCTGGACGGAGGCCCTTCTGCTGGCAGTTAGGACAGATCATGGCCTGTCTGACCTCACGTCACCATCTCGCAAAACGAGACTGACGTCACCCCCCACAGGCTGTCTCAATAGGACACAAGACGCCACAACCTCCACCGTGTCACTGCGGCCATGTCCACAGAGCGGCTCCCCATGGAAGACGCTGCCTTGTCCGGCCAGAGACCGTCACCACCCTGTGTGCCCCCGCCCCTGGTCCAGCACACGCGTCCCTCCGTGCGCCCCCGCCCCGGTCCAGCACACGCGTCCCTCCGTGCGCCCCCGCCCCGGTCCAGCACACGCGTCCCTCCGTGCGCCCCCCGCCCCGGTCCAGCACACGCGTCCCTCCGTGCGCCCCCCGCCCCGGTCCAGCACACGTGTCCCTCCGTGCGCCCCCCGCCCCGGTATAGCACACGCGTCCCTCCGTGCGCCCCCGCCCTGGTCCAGCACACGCGTCCCTCTGTGCACCCCCCTTGCCCTGGTCGAGGAAATGCGTCCCTCCGTGGGCCCCCCGCCGCCGGCCTCGCTCACCTTGGCCTGGCCCTTGGCCAGCACAATGTTGGAGATGACAGACGCCTGGAGGCCCCCCGAGGGCGGGGCGAGCTGGGCGGTGCTCAGGGACCGCGTGGGTCTGGACGGGCCCTGCAATGAGGAGCCAGGGGAGCGGTGAGTTCACGGGACAGAGCACACACCTCACGGAGGGGGGGGCCCGCCACGGAGGACACATGCCCCCTCTCTCCCGAGGGCCCACGCCTGCCGCTTGCACCGGCTGGGGTCTGGGCAGGGCTCCAGGCGGCCCTGAGCCGGTCTCCCCCAGCCCCGCAGCCGTGGGCTCAGCGGGGACAGTCAGGCCACGCCGACCACACTGGCCGGGACGCTGGTCTGGCACCAACGTCTCAAGCAAGGCCGGGAGCTGACTGCAGAGTTCAGGACACTGACTGAGCCCCTTCTCTGTGCCAGGCAAGGGGTGTGGGGGGCAGGGCGCAGACTGCAGCCCACCTCTCCTGACTCGGCCACTGTCACCTGGTGCCCTGGGGCAGTGACCCTCCGTGCCCCAGCTTCCTCGCCTATACTGGGGAAGCCATTTGTCCAAGTGCTGGTCACCCACTAGCTCTCCATTTGCGGCTGGAAAACGACCCCGGGGAGGGGAAGGGAGGGGGTAGGGGAGGGGAAGGGGGTAGGGGAGGGGAGGGGGGGAGGGGAGGGGAAATGAAGTGTCAGGTGTCTGCTGTGTGACGTGTGGGCAGAGGCAAACACGGGGAGCTCTCGATGTGCTGGGGAGACGGGGTGTTGGCAGAGAGAGTGCCACCAAGACACCCCGGGGTGAGCCCTGGCGAGGGGCACTGGGAGCTCAGGAGGCCTCCAGCAGGGGGGTGGGGTTTGCAGGAGATGGGGCAGGAGAGGAGGGCACAGCACTGCCGCCAGGGGGCGCTGTGGGACCATGCGTGGCTGTGGGAGGCCCCTGGAGGTGTCTGTGCCTTGGCTGAGACCTAGGTCACCGGAGATTGACGGACAGGCTGGAGGGACTGGGGTGGGCGACACTATGCTTCCTATTTGCTTAGCACCCCATCTGCAAGCTGATGCCCTATCGTGGGAAGGGCATGAACTGGGGAGCCACCGGGGGCTTGGTTCCAATCCTGGCCCCTCGGTCTTAAGATGTGGGAACAGCCCAGTCGAGCTCCCCTTCCTCCCTGTGAAACGGGGCCAACAGTGCCTTTCACCGCTTGTCAAGAATCGGAGGCCGTGCGTGTCAAGCAAGTCACACGTCACGGGGGTTAAGCGCCCGGGTTTGGAGCCCACAAGACCCAGCGTCAAGTGCCCGCTGTCTGACAGTCCGTGGGACTTGTCCAGCTGGACCCTGCCTGTCCCTTGGCGACTGTGCAGGTGACAGGGCTGCAGACAGCGAGGTGGGGCCGCACGGTCCCTGCTGATGCACAAGCGTGGCGGTGGCGGCGGCAAGTCCCTGGCACACCGGGCGGCCCGGGAGGTGCCGGCCCTGAAGTGCCCCTTGGCCCCGAGGTAGCTGTGCCCCCAGGCCAGCCCCGCTCCCCTGCAGTTCCGTGGCCTGAAGCCCCGAAGTGGGCCCCTCCCCATGGCCTCACCCCAGCCTTCCCTGCAGGGGAGTCCAGCTGCTGGGACAGAGACTTCCTGCTGCTGCACAGGGCACAGGGCGGCCGGTCTGCGGAAGCGCCGGTGTCCCTGGCCGCCGGGAAGCCTGCCTCCGCGGTGCAGTCGGGGTTCGCGCCTAGACCGGGAGAGAGAGGAGGAAGCTCTGTGCTCACAGAGAACAGCAGCCCCCACACAGTGTCCTACTTTCCATACAGACCGGCCCCACCTTTGCTGCACCCTGTATATCAAAATTACAGTGTGTGTGTGTGTGGGGGGGGGGGGTCAAACCAGTTCAACACGCAACACTGAGGCCGCTGGAAATGCGGTTGTGAAATCCAAAGCAAAAGCCAAAGTAATATTTGAAAGGGAAACTATCTGTTGAGATGATTTCTTCATCATAACACCAGCTGATCATGCACCACGAAGCTGGATTAGGAGGTGGGAAATGGGCGAGGAGGTGAGGGACACCCCGGAAAACAGGCTCAAGTCTTAGCTCCTTAATTAAACCTGGTCCGCGAGGTCACGGGAAACCAGAAGTGGAGACAGACATGGAAGAAAGCGCTCAGACGACTGCAGAAAAGAAACACACACTCGCACCCAGAGGAAGACGCGGAACACACATGGCAGAGCCAGAAAGCACAGAAAACCCAAGTAAAAGCAAATATTATTTATAACAACAATGCCAGCGGCGCGAGCTTCTGCCTTGACAATGATCTGCCAGATTTGCTTTCAAGATGCAGCCGCGTGTCCTTTGCGAGAGAGGAACAAGGCGGCCAGACAAGGACGAGATGGAAAGTGGGCAGAGGCCGATCATGGGGTCGCGGGAATCCGCGACCCGCTCGGGAAAATGCTCCCGCGATGCCTGTTCGCCAACATCCAAAGTGCACAGTATGTTCGAGAAAAATCACACAAAGCAAAAGAAAACACAGGCTAAGCGCTCTCTGGGTGTGGAAGAAACGCGAACGTTCGGGAGTTGGGAAAACGCCGATGTGCTGAGCTTACAAAGACAAAAACACCTTCCCGAAGGGAAAACCTCGAAGAAATGACACAGAGGAGTGTGTGCCACAGAAGGACGGCCAGACCCTGTTCTACCAGGCGGCGTTTCACACAGGGGAGGTGAAGCAGGGACTGTCCGGCGGAAGCCAGCCCCCCACCGAGGGGCACTAACGGGAGGCGCAGGTGACCCCAGCTGCACCGGGCGCGGGGAGGCGCTCTGCCCACCTCGCTACAGGGCGCGGGGCCAGGCAGGTGGCAAAGGCCTGTATCAGCCAGGGCCTGGGAAGGACGAGGGACGGGGCCACCACAAAGGGCAGAGGGGGTCTGAGAAAGTGCCGAGGCGGACTGAGGCGCCCAGGAACCGGCTCGAGCTGGAGGCTGCGCCCATGCTGGGCTTGAAGGGCCAGAGGAGGCAGGGGGCGCGCCGGAGCCCGGTGGGCGCTGGACCCAGGCTCTGCCAGGGCTGCAGAGGGGGTGGGACGGACACCCGGCGGCCGCCCTCCGCCCTCCTGCCGGCGCCTTCACTGACTGAGCGCCACTAGAACCCCGAGGGCCGGGGCCCCGAGGACGCGCCTGCACATCAGTGCCCAGAGCCCCACACGTAGAGTCGGCTGCGTGCCGGGCCGGCCGTGACGTCATAGAGCCCCACACGTAGGCTGCGTGCCGGGCCGACTGTGACATCACAGCCCCACACGTAGGCTGCGTGCCGGGCCGGCCGTGACGTCACAGCCCCGCACCCAGAAGGCTCAGCGCCGGGCTCCTGCGGTGCAGGGTTCCTCACGGTCTCCGAGCAGAGGTCTCACGCTCTCATTTCACACTGATGCCCGCAAAGGCAGCGGGTCCTGGGTGCGGAACGAGACGGACAGAGCAGACGGCTGGGGCGGGGAGTGAGGGGTGTAGGGCCTCACCCGCGTGGGCTGAGACTGAGTGGACGTTCCTGTGCTGACCCTGAGCAGCACGGACCACGGCCTGACCAGGAAACCGCTCAAGGAAAGAAAGTAAAAGCTACGATGAAAAACAGCCACCAGGGTACAGAAACGGACGGTCCATCTGATGGCCTTGACCCTGCAACACACTAGGAGGAGGGTGGACCGTGCAAGGGACTGTCCACCGCGACACAAACAACCCCTCGGGAGGCAGCATCCACCACCCGAGTGGGCGCTGGGGCCACGCACGGTCGGCGCCTTTGGCACCTCCCGAGAAAACCGGCCCGGCCGAGCCCAACGCCCGAGCAGCACCAGCACCGTGGACGCGGTGGGTGGGCTGAGGCGAGGGACCCGGCTCACACCAGGCAGCGGGCTGGCTAGACCGGCACGGCCGCACGTGGGATCCTGCGGACCCACGAACACCGGAGTCTACAGGGGGTCCAGGGGCACGGGGCGCACACAGTCCTGGCGGGAGGAGACTGGAATGTCAGCACTGACCGTCCGAGCCCAGCCTGCGGTCTCCTGACCCTGCGCTCTGCCTGCAGCCACCTACACCCGGGCACCTTCCAGCGTCCCCGCCGTCCTGGGAGACGAGGCCACAGCCCCAGGACAGGGTGGCCTTGCTAAGACCAAGGGATGTCTCGCCGTGAGAGTCCAAAGAGGAGTGAGGCCCGCGGCGTGAGGACCCTCCCACAGGGCTCGGGTCTGCTCCCCCGGACCCGAGACCCGCCTCCCCGCGCCCCTCACTGGCACCCTGACACCCCACAGAAGCCGTGAGGGGCACTTACTGGTCGAGTTGCTGCGTGTCCTTTGGTGACAGGCTTTGGGGAGCAGGAAGCTACTACTCTGCGCTTCAGGTTTTCCGGACTTTTCTCGAGAGGAAGTTGTAGGAGCTTCCTGCAAAACAATTCCCGTCTTTTACTCACCAGGTTCGTGAGGATCAAAAAAGACGCTCAGAAAACTGAGAGTTTTGACGCCGACCTCGGTGTACGGTCCGCCTGTCCCCTCCGCTACATTACAGGCTCCACCAGGGGGGAGTAGTGTCCTCCATCAACTCACCGATCTAGGAATTCAGTTTTTAAGGACTGAAGAGACACAGAGGTGTGGACACAGCTGTGAGCAAGGATCCTGACCTCGGAGGAGTGCGTTCGGGTGAAACGTAAACAAGAAAACAAACGAGAGAGAATTGCCCACAATGGCAAGTGTTGCAAGTGGCATCAGTGGGGAGTAGGGGGCACATGTTTTAGAGACGACGACCCAGTGGGGACCGTTTTTCAGGCACATGTGGGCCCCCAGAAACATCCGTGGAGTGGATGCCCTATGAACAGATTTCCTTACGTTGAACCGTCCATGCATTCTTGACAGTGTTAGACGTAGTTTGATCATGTTGCTGTTTCTTCTGCGTGATTTAATTGAGGACTCTAACATTCTACATTTTGAAGTTAAATCTGGCTGTTGTTCTGTTTTTCTTTTCCTCCCGTGCCATATGGATCACGCTGTCTTTGCTTCTTTATACTAAGTTAAGAAATGCTCCCCCTGCGTGGGGCCCATCAGCAGCGCACGGGACAGCGGCGGGGACGCGCTTCTCCATCGGGGCCGGTGACACGACGCAGCACACCCAGCTCTCCCGCAGGTGAGGGGGGCACCTGAGCCGGGTTCGCGCTCCTCCCTCCCTCCCCCTGGGACCTCAGGGACAGAGGGCGCAGGGTTACAGGTGGATAATGAAGATGATGACATTGCTTATTTTACGTCTCTTCCCAGAACCGTGTTTATGCTGTTTTCCTCTTTCATAACTTTATGAGCCACAGTGAGTTGGACTTAATTCCTGAGTGATGTTGGCTTCATTACTCACTACCGTAATCCGGTGGGGGAGGGGGGTGGAGAGAGGGGGAGAGAGAAATCTCCTTTGGGAAACTGTGCAGATGGAGAAGTCCGTCCCACCTGAGTGATTTGCTGAGCACAGAATCCCTGGGTGTGGGGTCACTTAGTCTGGAAGCTGGAGTCTGCCCAGTGCTACCTGGGACTCAGTGCCCCAGGGCGGAGGCGGGTGAGGGGCACCTGCCACCCTGCTCTGACTACAGGCCTGGCCAGCGCCTGGCTAATCTCGCATGCCGAGCGCCTGCGGACCTCGGCCCCTGGCACCCTGCCCGGACACAAGGAGGCTCTCCTGCCGCCCCAACTATGCACCTGCTCTCCGCTCCAGCCCGAGGTGGTCGGCACGGGGCGGGGGTTCTGCCAGCATCTGTCCGCTCGCTCGTCTCCCTCCCTGTGGCCAGCGGCGGGCCAAGGAGCCCTCAGCCCAGCCCCACCTGCACCACGGCAGACGTTCTTGTGGGCTTCAGAGGGGGCTCGGCCCCTTTCCACGGCTTCGTGTTCTGACATAGCTTCCTCCCTGTTTGTACACACATTTTTGGATTTCACAGAAATTTCTAAGAGGTGTGTGTCGGGGCCGGAAGGGGGGACGAAATGCACTCTGGCACCCTCTGCTGCCAGAAGTCCCTCAGGGCCCTGGTTCTTGGGGAGCCCTGCTCGAGCCAGAGCCCCCTTCTTCCCAGGTGCTCCTCTTCCTCCCCAGCAGCAGGTGGCGCCACATTAACCCAGACAGCCAGCTCCTCTCCCCAGGCGGCCGGGGAATCTTCAGGAGAGGGATGGGATGATGTGGGAGGTGAGTTCCTGAGACTACCTTTCCAGACCTTGGCGCAGAGACAACCTCTTTGAATTACCTGCTGCACACAATATACTACTCGGACATTTCTGAGACCACAGTCGTCCCGGAGGTTACGTCCTGACCTGGCTGTGGCGGGGACTGGCCGGCCGGGCGGCTGCCACAGGGAAGGATGGACACGGGCTGCCAAGAACCAGAGGAGAGCCAGGTCTCGATGTTCTATCAGACTTAAAAACATCAACAAAGACAGACAGCTATCGGGCCCCTAAAAGCTCCCCACACAGGCCATGCACCGACGGACCCAGGCTCACCCACGTGCTGGGGTCACGTCAAGGCATCGTTCACTCTCGTGCATCCGCGAAACCCTGAGCTTCATGGTTCTTCACCAGAGAGGCACAGAGGGACAGAGTGGGCGGAGGATCGTGGGACCAGCAGCATTAACTCTCTCATGCCCTGGACTTGTCTCTCCATTCTTTGGGCTCGGTTTCCCCTTTTGCACGCTGAGGGGTGCACTGACCCCCGCAACCACTGTCAGCGCCATGGTTTTGAACATGACTGATGCTTCCATTTAAGGAGCCACGGAGCCCTGTCCTCTCGGACATGGTCACAGCGGATCACCCCCAAGCACCGAGCCTCTTTCCTGGGCCCCAGGGAGCCGGGGCGCTGCGGGCAAGGACGTTCCGGTGCTGCCTCAAAGGAGTCTCTGTGCTGCCCCCTGGCCCGGCTCCCTCCCAGCCGCAGAACAAAGCTCTTCTGTTCCTGCTCCAAGGTGGGGCCGCCTGGAGACCAGGGGTTTGTCGCCGAGGTCGGGCTGGCAAAGTCATTTCCTCTTGTTCTCACCGGAGACGGCTGTGGGCAGCGCTCTGGGGGCGGGCGCCCCGTTACTGCCTGAGGGGCAGTCTGTACGTTTATGGGGGGTATGACTACGCAAGGACACGCACCAACCAGCCACCTGACAGCCCTGGGGGACTGAGGCACCTGCATTTCTTGCAACCTCGCGGGAATCTACAGTCATCTTAAGATAAAGGGTTTAATTTACAAAACGATTTTAACACTGCATTTCCACACCCCAGAAAACAGCCGTTAGAAAACAGAATCGCTACGGAGATGACATGTACAGCTGCGCCAGGAAACACAGAGTGCCCAGGGGCCGGGGGACGAGAGGAAGCCACAGACTCTGAGAACCCCGCAGCGTCAGGAAACGGGGACCCGGTAATGCACGCTGGTCAGTGCCCCCAGCGCGTGGGAAGTTCAGTGAGGCACTAACAAAAGTCAAGTGTTGTTTTTTTAAAAAGTATCCCAAATGGATCCTTAAACTTTTATCAAGAAGCAAAAGGCCAAAAACAAACATTCCTAAACAAGCAAAAGAAGGGAGAAAGCTCCATACGCGAGAACAATACTGAGGTTAAAATATGATCGAGACCGTGGAGTTAGGAAACAGGGTAACGACTGACCATGAAACAGGACGCAGAGCCTAGAACGGCCGGAGACAGAACTAACGTCTGGGGAAGATGTCCCGTCAGCAGGAGCAGCGGGCACACGGAGCCGTGCGGGAAAACGACGAGGCCCCCCCTTCACCAACATCCGCTCCGGGTGCGAGAACCACCGTACGAAAGGCAAAAGGCCGTGGCACGTTCCGAAGACGAGGAGAGAGGAGATGTCGTCATCGAATGCGTCCGCGTTAACAAATGACACGAAGCTTTAAGTAAGACACAAACGCACACACTCTAAAGGGCGCGACGGATGAACGCCACGTGGAAACCAAAGGCTTCTGCACAGTGGAACACTACGCGGCTGTGAGAAAGGTTCTCTCACCCTTTGCGACGACGTGGAGGGGCCTGGAGAATTTATACTGAGCGAAATAAGCCGGTCAGAGAAAGACAAGTACCCCAGGATCTCACTTATTTATGGAACATCATGAACAAAATCACCTGGAGGTCAAAACAGACCCCGAGCCATGGAAGTCGGGGACAGACAGACACACCTGAGACGGAGGGGGTGGGAGGGGTGGGGAGAGAAACTGAAGGGCTTGTGTGTACATATGCACAACCAATGGGCACAGACGTTAGGTTGGGAGAGCAGGAGGTGGGGGAGGGGGTCAATGGGGAAAAAAGAGGAACATCTGTAATACTTTCCATAAAAAATAAATAAAATAAAGTGAACGGCCCTGCCCGGTTTTGCTCAGTGGTTAGAGCATCGGCCCGCGGACCAGTGAGTCGCAGGTTTGATACCGGTCAAGGGCACGTACCTCGGTTGTGGTTTGGCCCTGGTTGGGTCGTGTAGGAGGCGGCCAATGGATGTGTCTCTCTCACATCAATGTTTCTCTCTCTCCCCCTCCCACTCTATATGAGGGTACAGGGGAAAATACCCTTCGCTACCGACGGAGGTCACAGTGGAACCGCATCCGTGTGACACGCAGACCTGAGTGGGGCTGAGACCTCCAGGGCCAGTGTGTTCCCCTCCCTGCCACACGCAGCCGAACGCCCTGGAGTGACCCCACGGACAGCGGTCATCGGACGCTGAAGGCCCAGAGGGCACAGCCAAGGCCAGGAGCCTCGGGACGAGAGGGACGACAAATGCGTGTGCCTGGGCGATGTCTGTCTGTCTGCCTGCCGCACAGCCTCTGTCTGTCTGCCTGCCTGCCGCACAGCCGACCAGCTGCTGGGGACCAGGACAGTGCTCCCGGCCAAACACCAGGAGGGGCCAGCCAAGACCTGGGTGGGGGGAGCCCAGCCTCTGCCCCCACGAGGCCCCGGCAGGGCGGCAGGGCTGCGTGTCCCTGCGGCAGTGGCCACAGCAGAGCCCTGGCCAGGCTCCCAGCCCCCGTCCAGGACCAGGGCACAGGCAGCAGGGCCCACCTGCAGGGGCCCATCAGCTGAGTGTCCTGCTCCTGCCCCTCCCCCCACCCAGTGACAGCAGAGACCCCGGGCCCCACAGCTTCTGCCCGGCCCCACCTGAACGACAGATGGTCACCCTGTGCCACAGGCCAGCCAGAGCAGCTCTTCCCACCCCAGCAGGCGACCGGCTGGGGCCCAGCGAACCCTCCAGCAGTGCGGGAAGAACGAGGCCGACCGAGGCTGACCGAGGCCGACCGGTGCTGACCGGGGCCGACGGGGGCTGACCGGGGCCGACGGAGGCCGACCGGGCCGACAGGGGCTGACCCGAGGCTCACCCGCAGCACGGCAGGGGCTCCGCAGCACTTCCCAGCGCCTGTTCTCCTGCCCCTCGGACC